CAACATCAAGACCTAATATGACGGCTAACATGTCAATTCGATACTGACTATGTGTTTTTGTGTTGATATCCAGGCACTTTAAAGTGTTCCCGCAGCGTTTCTGACGGGTCTGAAGATCTCATTTGGAGTACTGAGCTAACAAACAAACCAGCATTGGACCGTATGGGTGGTGTACATGGTCCTAGTACAGTTACACACCCAACGGCCAGAATGTGCCCTAGTTCTTGGCCGCCCACGCCAGGCAGGGGTACTCCGGATGCACCAGACAAATGGAGCAACTGTCTATCTTGCAGAAGAAAGGAGGAATCGCCGTCGCAGTCATGGCCATGGTGACTGATAAATATCAACCTGGGACCGCCCTCCCCTCCACCATTTTCCGGTCCCGTCTCTTTCTTTTCCCGTGTCCCACCACAGTCGACTACGTTGTGACCTTTGGCTCACAACTTCCCAACGGACCTCCACCTATTCCTCCCCACCGAATAGGAAAACATGGCCAACGTGGAGGAAAAGAAGTCGTTCGACGCTTCGGCGGCGAACATGCGCCCTTTCTCCGAGAGCACCCCCGCCTACGAGAATGCCTACGATGTCAAGGAGAAGATGTCGGTTGAGGTCGAGAGCACTGGAGAGGTCGAGGAAGAGGAAGAGGATCTCTTCGCTCCCCTCAAGATGGACGCTTCAGTCGTTCATGAGGAGAACCCCTTGACCATCCGTGCCGTTGTCACCGGTATCGTTTTGGGCTGTCTTGTCAGCGCTTCCAACCTCTATCTTGGTGAGTTTTGTCTTCTACATGAATTCGATCACAAGCTGCGTTTGTCTCAAAACACTACTCTAACCAAACTATTCACATGCAGGTCTCAAGACCGGTTTCACCTTCAGCGCCAACATGTTCGGTGCTATTTTCGGTTACGGTATTGTCAAGATGATGTCCAAGTCCGGCCAGGTTCCCATCATCGGTGGTGCCTTCGGTCCCCAGGAAAACTCCATTATCCAGGCCGCTGCTACTGGTGCTGGTGGTATCTCTGGTATCTTCGTCGCCGGTATCCCCGCCATGTACCAACTTGGAACCATGGGCGAGGGCGCCACTCCCCAGAAGGATATTGGCGCCATCTTCACCATTACCCTGGTCTGCTCCTTCCTGGGTCTCTTCTACGTCACCCCTCTTCGCAAGTTCTTCGTCGTTCAGGTCGCCCGTGAGCTCAAGCTCATCTTCCCCACGCCCACCGCCGTCGCCTTGACCATCCGCTCCATGCACGCTGGTGCAGCTGGCAGCATCGAGGCCATGAAGAAGCTCAAGTGCTTGGGTCTTTCCTTCGGCGCCGCTTTGGCTCACCGTGTTGGCTCGTACTATGCCATTGGTATCCTTTACGATTGGCATCCTTTCACCTGGATTCACATTTGGTCAGGCTACAAGAGCTGGGCCTTGAACATTGAGTCGTGGGGCTGGTACTTCGAATGGACTCCTGCCTTCATCGGCTCCGGTATCCTGATTGGTCTTAACCCTGCTATCAGTATGTTCGTCGGCTCGTTCCTGGCCTGGGGTGTTATTGGTCCCGTCTTGGTTCACTACGGCGAGTGCATCGGCATTCAGCAGTATCCCCACGACCCTCACTGGGACAGCCTCTACACCTTCTTCTCTCTCAAAGACCTCGGCAGGGTTACCCCCTCGCCTCGTTACTGGCTCTTGTGGCCCGGTGTCATGGTCATGGTCTGCTCCTCCATGGCTGAGCTACTCGTCCAGTACAAGGTCATCTGGTTCGGCTTGAAGTCCTCGTGGCAGCAGACCTGCGTCAGCATCAACGACACCTTTGTCGCCCGTGGCAAGACCAACGGTTTCTTTTCTAAGCAGGCTGCCAAGGTTGTCCGGACTGGCGAGGAAGTGGAGGATCCCGCCAAGGCGAACGAGCAGGTCAAGCACTGGCACTGGATTGTCGGCCTTATCGCCACCCTGGTTGTTGCCATGATCATCTTCCACTTCCAGTGGGACATGCACCCGGGTCTCACCATCCTTGCCGTCATTCTTGCCTTCCTCTTCTCATTCCTCGCCATCCAGATCGGTGCTGTCACCGATTCCACCCCTCTCACCGCCGCCTCCAAGGCCTCGCAGCTCGTCTTCGGTGGTGCCACCCAACACTCTGGCTTCACCATCAAGCACGCTCAGAAGATCAACTTGGCCGCCGGTGGCCTTGCTTCCGGTGGTGCTGACGTTGCCACCTCCCTCGTCTCCGATTTCCGTACCGGTTTCCTCCTCGGCACTCCCCCGCTCAAGCAGTGGATTGCCCAGGCCATTGGTACCTTTGTTGCCGTCTGGCTCGCCCCCGGCCTCTTCGTCCTGTTCACCAAGGCCTACCCTTGCATCTACGATCCTGAGGTGGCGAATTCTCCGGACGCTCACTGCGCTTTCGCGGTCCCCTCCGTGTCCGCTTGGGCTGCCGTCGCTCGGGCTGTCACCGATCCGAACGTCAAAATCCCTCTCTCCTCCGGTATTTTCGCCATCGTCATGGGCGTTGTCTCCATCCTCCAGGTCCTCGTCCGTCACTTCTACCTCGTCGGTGAGCGCGAGAAGTGGCGCGAGTGGCTTCCCAACTGGGGTGCTATCGCCCTTTCTTGGGTCATTCCCGCCCCCGTGTTCGCCAACGCCGCCCTTCTCGGTGCCATCATTGCCGCTATCTGGAGGAAGTACAGCATGAGGACCTGGGATATCTACGGTTATGCTCTCGCTGCTGGTAAGTTCTTGGATTTTACGCTCACCACTCCGTTGCAACTCTGTACTAACAAGCTTGTCTTTTTGCAGGTTTCATTGCTGGCGAGGGTCTCGGTGGTGTCGTCGGTGCCATCCTCACCCTGGCTGGTGTTGACGGTTCCGTGTACGGCACCAACATCGCCTGCCCGGCCAATTCATGCTGAACAACTCAAACGTATGATGTTTGTTATATGTTGTTGATGATGAAAGATGGATAATGTTATACCCATGAGAGAATATGTTGTCTTAATTAGTTGCACGTAACGATGATACCACGAATGGGGGCTTTGGGTTAAAAAAAAAAAGCCCGGCTCTGAAAATGATCAATAATACTTATACCCTATTATACCAGATGACTGTTCAAATCATGCCATAGATCAATGTTTGTAAACATGCGTAAGAAACTTGAGGCGGGTGTTCTTGATGATGCCGCGATTAGAAGAGTGGGAAATCTAGGACATCAAAAACCATACAGGATACCTATGAACGCGGCAATAATGCTCAGAGACGATCAATTATAGATTCAATATTTACATTGACACTGCAGTGTCTCTCGCCGTCACATTCTCAAGAATCTTGAGAAAGGTACCTCTACATTCAGCGTCCGCCCACGGTTCGGGGCGGCTAATAACGGTGAGAATATAAGCGGGTAAACTTGCCCCTCCTTACAACAATCAGCACAAGCCCGATTAGCTCAGCTGGTTAGAGCGTCGTACTAATATCAGTTCTTTGATATCAAGTCAATGCGAAGGTCAACAGTTCAATCCTGTTATTGGGCATTTCTTTTTCCTTTTTTTTTTTTTTTTTTTTTTCCACTTCACGCCTCATTCGCCTAAAAGGCTTTTATGTGCGGAGATTCCGTTGTCTTTTTTTTTTTTTGTTTTTGCGGGCTTGGTGATCTCGCAGGCTATATCGACGGTGGTTTGTTTGGCTTTTCTTTTGCACCGAGGGGGTGGTGGGTGGACCCGCGGAGATAATAAGACAATGTGATTGATATGCGAAAATGTTAACGCCAACGAAAGTGCAACTGTACCCCCAGATCTTGCCATTGACTGTTGAATTGGCATCGGTCGACTAAAACTCGTTTTGTCAAGATGTTGCCGAGTTGTTTGGACAAGTCATTAGCACTGTCACTACGATAGCATACCTGGGCAGCTGCGACAAGTGGATTCGATTGCAAACGACATGTCCCTCCTAAATCTATACACGACGACAACAAGCAGGTATCGCGGTCCAGCGATAAGAGACTTTAAACATCTTCACTGTCGCTATTCAAGTTGTTTCGACGAAGTTTATAGTGGTTTGGAGTGAAATTGGATCAAGCATTCACTTCCGAGATACCGTTTGCAAGCGGCAGCATGGCAGGCAGGTACGTCGGCAATAGGTACTGCAACTACGCAGGCACACGCAAGGCACCATAGCAGCTTCTGTGCATCAGACACAAAGGTGTCACGTCACGTCACGTCTTAAAATATTTTTCGAGTCACAGGCATTTATTTCACAACATTTCACATCACTTTTGCACCATCATAGTAGCGAGCACAGTTTTTGGGCCAAGCATATATTATCACGACCTCTCTACCAATGCTTGACTCCCTATCTTCTCCTCCCTTCTCCTCCAAATCCTCCATCAACCGACCAGCCAGCCAGTCGGCCGCCTTTCATTATCCGCATTATCATTATGTCTTTGTCCTCCTAACCATCCATTCATCTCCCGGCTATGTCCATCCATCTTTCATGAACCAGCTCTTCATACGGGTATGTTGTTTATGTTGTTTATGTTGTTGTTGTTGTTGTTGTTGTTGTTGTTGTTGTTGTTGTTGTTGTTGTTGTTGTTGTTGGGGGGTATCTCATAAGCAATGAAATAATGCAGAAACCATCCGTCCGTTGACCGAAACCGAAAACCGAAAAACCAGAAGAGGCGGGGGGTATCGTACAATAATCTTGATCATTCCGTCGTCATGTTGTTCTTTTTCTCATTACTCGTTTCAGTCTTGTCGTCCTGTTGTCCCGTTGTCCTGTTGTGCGCCCTGAAAAAGAAAATTGCTGAAATGCCGCTGTAGTGCAGTGATGCTGTTCTTTCTGATGCCGATGTGTGATGCTGTTGTTTCTTATCCCCTGTTGTTGTTGTTCCGATCCGTAACGCCCCGAAAATTGCAAAGTTGTTTTGGTGATTGTTTTTTTTGTTTTGTGACCTTTTTTGGTGATTGTTTTCTTTTTCTTTTCTTTTCTTTTCTTCTTGCTCAAGTCCTCCTCATAGCTAAGCCTTGATGAGAGTGGCAGACTGGGGGCCCATGGGAGCCATGGGGTTCAAGGGAACCGGGGACACGGAAGGGCCGATGTCCAAGTCGGGAATGTCCTCGTCGTAGTGGATGCCCAGGGGAGACAGCTCCTTGTCGTTGTCGTCGTTCTTCTCACCCTCGGTCAAAGCGGCGAGTTTGCGGCCGGACCAGGCGTAGTCCCAGAAGGTGAAGAGGGCCCAGAGCTTGATGAAGGAGTGGAAGTAGGCGAAGAGGACGTAGGCGGGGAAGAGCCAGATGTCTTGAGGATAGGTCGAGAAGTAGCGGAAGACTTTGACGGTCTTGGTGAAGATCATCCAGGAAAGGAGAGCGGCGAGGGCGTAATTGGGCTCCGCGGCGTCGGTGTACCAGGAGGACTGGGTGAAGAGGTAGACCAGGGCGGCGTCGGTGAAGAGCGCAAAGTTGGTGAAGCTGGTCAGATAGACGGCGTAGACGCAGTAGGGCTGAGTGGCCCAGACGGTGCCTTCGGTGAAGAGAGAGGTGGTGTTGGACCTCCAAGTGGTGCGGACCCAGCGGCGGCACTGACCGAGGAACTTGGTATGGACGGGCTCGCCGACGCCGACGGTAGTCTCCATCTCAGTGTCCTTGGTGTACTGAATCTTGATCTTCCAGCCATTGTTGACCATGAAGCGGGTGATATAGTTGTCATCGTCGGGGTGGAGAGGTCCGAGAAGGCCGAAGAAGAACATCTCGTGGAGGTAGCCGGCCTGGAATTCCTTGTCTTCGAGGATGCAAGTGCGAATGCCGACGGTGCGACCGGAAATGACGAAGACACCACCGTCAATGGCGTTGGTGGCGCGAATCTCAAAGTTGTGACGGTCGAGGTACAGGCAACCGAGCATGTTCCAGAAGCGGCACCAGATAGAGAGACCTTCGAGACGGCGGACGCGCTTGTTGGTACCGACGATGCCGACTTGGTTGTCTTCGAAGGGGGCGAGCAAGGACTTGAGAAGGTCGTGAGAGTTCCAGAAGACGTGGTCGTCGACAAGGACGGTGATCGGGGTGTTGATGTAGCGGATGACGTGGGCGACTTGCTCGCGCTTGTTGGCGATGTTCGTACGGGTGACCAGAAAGTTGATAAGGGGGAACTCGTCCATGACGGGAGCTACAGCGCTGAGGGTCTTTGCATATAGGTCTTCTCCGGCAGTGACGACGATGATCTTGCGGGGGCCGTTGCGAGCGCAGCTGGTCAGGCACTCATGGAAGTCGACACCGAGGGGATCAACTGTGGGAATGACGACAGTGACATCGCGACCGGGGTAGTAGTTGGCGTTGCTCTTGGGCATGGGGGCAGCCTTGTAGGTCCAGAAGCCGATGATGTTGAGGCAGAAGCGAAGATAACGCCAGATGAAGAGAGCGAGGAAGTAGTAGAGGGCCTGTTCACCCTTGGAGAGGTGCTTGATGCCAGAGTGGATAAAGCTGACGACGAGACCCATGCACAAGGTGTTGAAGGAAGCTTGCTTGAGCCACGAGAAGGTCGACATGCCCCTGGGGCTTCCCTTCTGGGTAGGCGGAGTGAGTGTGGGTGACATGATGTCGGTTTAAGAGAGTCGTCGTAGATGGAGACTGTCGCAACGGTTCGGTTGAGGGGTAATGGTGGTGAGTGGGTGTCGACTATGTTGTCGCGATGTTTGACTGTTGAGGATGGGTAAGTACTCGATGCCTTCTCAGACGTGTGCTGATGATGTACTTACTGAAGTGGTATTGTAGATTGCTTGAGGCTCCTTGAGATAGCAGAGTGTCGATTGACTTTGGTCGTCTGACGATTGTCTGTCGAAGCAGTTTTGGGAGGGAGCAAAATGGATGAGCTCTTGGGTGCGGCGGTCGACTTTTAAACCACCTCAGCTTTCGACAGTCACCTTCCAAGGTCGCCAGGAGTGAATGGTGTTTTGGTGTCTTCAACCTGCGAACAGCCAAGTTCAGGTTGGGTGTTCTGGATTTGCTCCGTGAACAGTCGCAGATTGGCCAGTTGTTCATCGTACTGGCTGGAGGTTCCTGTCATCCCATCCTGAACAGCCCACCTGAGACGGAACAAACATAGAAACTGTTCATCCATTGGGAATCTGGATGCTTCTTCTGAAATGTGATATCGGACGAGTCTCTTCGCACAGGTCCTGCGAACTCGTCCAGGTCTGCTGTCCCGCGAACAGCCATAGCAGGCGAGAGAACAGGCCAGAACAGCCATCCCGCAACAGAACAGACGTCATTTCATGTTGACACCAGATGAACAAACTACGAACAGCCCTGGTTGAGTTCTTGATGTGGATAAAGTCGCGAAACACGGCAGAAGCCCAACCGGTAGTTGGTCGGGATGCGGTTGCGGCTGTCACTAACGGGATGTCAAACCCTAACCCATCACATAGCATTGATTAATGGACTTGTACGCAGATCGTAGACTGCACAAAGAAAAACTCGTGACAGCCGCGACAACAATGTTGAAAGAAAATTGATGTCGTCTTTGTTCCTGACGCATGGACAGCGGCACGGACGAGAACCCGGACGCCGCGCATCTCAACGGTCCCAACAACAAGCGCCCGCGATCTAAGATCAAGATCTGAAAATGCACAGCATCTTCATTGATACACATCGATATTATCATTGTATGAACTTCTGCCTGAAAAGCCATTCCCGAGTGTCCCATGTCGCTACCTAAATCCAACCATCCGTGAAAGCCCGCCAAGTTCAGTCGCCAATTTGCCACCACCTTCTCTTTAGGGAACTCGCACAGACCCATATCAAGATACTGTCTCTTCCAAAGTGTATTCAGATGTCCATGTCATTTTCCAATTGCTATTTTACGACCAACAATCGTCGAGTGAATGGAGGCTCTTCTGCCATCCCAAGTTGGCGGTCCAGATCAATCTGAGCCAATGGGACCATTCACACCCCTGCCAAGAATTGAAAAAGACCCACATAAATTCCCCACTCTGTCTCCCAAAGGGGAAGGGAAGTAAACAAACGGGATTGAAATCGTTCGACGAAGACACCACCATCCGAAATGCAAAGATTTTGAGATGGAATGGTCACTTGCGGAAACTTTTCAAGGGGAAAAAAGGTTTCTTGTTAATTGAAGTGACACCGCCTGGGAGGCGAAGTTCAAACCTGGGATTCCACTTCATCGGACCACGCTGTGCAACTGATGCCCAAGGCCACAATGGACACGCACGCGACAACGGACCTGGAGAGGTGCTCCTTCCGAGTTTGAGCACCTGGGAAATGTGAGGCTCTGCTCTCCACTGACGGATGGAAAGGGCAGCACTGACTGAGTACGCGCACGGTTCAAGCAGGAATCATAGGTAGCATTCTTCACATCTGGAAGTCACGATGTGTAGGGCGAGGCAATTGACACTCGATTCGGACAAATGCTAAACAGTTTTACTCGACGCCAGATCCGTTTAACTCTATTGTCTATCCGTTAACACCATGCTATCCAGACCACTTTAGCAACCGGGCCTTCCAGCTCTAGTCTAGCAAAAACACCAATGCCCCCGGGTCCCATGGACCTTCCGAATTCCAAAACCGTCAACTGTTGCGTGCGCTTCAATAACTGATACCAATCCAGCAGAAACAAGCGATAGAACGCTCCGAACGTTATCCAAAACGACCACCGTCGTCCGTCCGTTCGTCCACGATACGTTCCGAACATACGAAAAACAGAACAGCCACGACGACCAGGTCGCGCAAATAACAACAGACCGGAATCAGCCCGTCGCCGACTCAACCGACTTCTCATTACTTTACGCCCTCGCGGACTCTCCACCCTCACCCGCCCGCTTCTCCGCCTTCTCCCTCTCCAACCTTTCCATCCTTTCTCTCCGCCAGCGCTCCCCAAACCTCCACTCCAGCCACAGCAACGGCATAAAAGCCGCAGTAACAATAGCAAATATAAGGAACGTCAATCCCGCGCCAATCGCATTGATAATGAACTGCACCAGCGCCACGCCAACCGCCCCAATCAGACATCTCACAAGATTATTAACCGCCGACGCGCTCGCGCTGGCTCCCGGGTAGAGGTCGACCATCAGGGTGCTGTTCAGATTGAACAAACCCATGTGGGTGAAGGCGATGAAGAACTGCAAGACAAGGGGGATGGCCATGCCCTTCTTTTCAGTGCCGAGACGGGGGCTGGTGACGGCGAATCCGTATCCCGCGACGCAAATAACAAAAGGGATGACGAAGTACAGCGACGAACGCAGGCGGGCGCGCGAGATGGGGAAATCGGCCAGTTTCTTGCGGTTGATCTCGACGGAGCCCGAAAGGTGGTGGGAGGCGCGGTAGCTGGTCTCGACGATCTTGTAGTCGCGGTCCATGATTTTTCCCGAAAGCAAGGACCCGCAGATGCAGCCGACGCCGTTGGGGATGAAGATCAGACCAGTCTGCAGGTTGCTGAGGCCGAAGCGCGGCTGGAATAAGGCATGGGTGGAGGAGGTCACCATGCTCCAGACTGTGTAGACGATGGCGCCGAAGAAGAGGGTGACGATGACGTCCTTTTCGGCCATGAAGCGGAAGGAGGCGACGAAGGTCGAGCAGGTCAGCTTGGGCGGCGGCGCGGTGATGTCGTCTTCCGTGGTCGCGTCTCTTTCTTTCCAGTAGCGCTGTCGGAGCTGACGGTCGAAGAAGGGACGGTGGATGCCCTCGAGTGGGACGGTGCCGTTTCCGGCGATGCGACGGAGGGTTTCGGGGAGGAAGAGCAAGATCGCGGCTAGCGTGATGCTACCGAGGATGAAGAGAAACCAGAAGATGGCGTGGAACCCGAGATACTCGGTGATGATGCCTCCGATGACTGGGCCCATTGATAGGCCAAACATGCGGACTGATGAACGGGAAAATGGTCAGTCACATCATTTCCTTCCCAAGATGAAGGGGAGTTTACTCACCTGCGCTAAATCCCGCCATATAACCACCACGTTCCTTTGCTGTCGTAATGTCACCAAGGACACCCCCTCCTGAATAAATAGACACGGTTAATGCTCGTTCTTCAACGGCTATTGGCGATACTAAACGACGAGTTTCACGTACCGACGGAGATAGTAGCAGCGCTACCAGCCGCTTGGATGGCCCGAAATACCATCAGCATTGCAAAATTCTTGCTGAAAGCCAACCCGATGTTGGCGATGAGGAAAACAACAAATGTCCCGATGAAAGTGACACGGCGTCCGCACGTGTCACTGAGGGGACCCCAGAATGATGGTGCGAACGCTTGCACTGCCATGTAGATGGTTACAGTCAAGGATACAAGCGCGATATCGATATGAACAGCCTGCGAGTGCGTTAGCGATATTGTTCACCCCTTGAAACACATCCTGTGGGTGTTTTTGACTGACATTGGCAATGGCCCCCAAAGCCGGAAAGTAGATATTGCTGGAAAGAGGAGAGAAAAGGCCCGCCACTGCGATTATGACCGTGACCAGCCACTTCTCCTTTTTTGTGAACACATGATATGGGGGTTCTGGTGGGCGTGAATTGTTGATATCTTCAATCTCGGTTACTGATGCCGTCGCTGATGCTTTGTCTGATCTGCCGCCGGCCTCGAACTTCTCGTCTACTTCGGTGCTGCTTGAGCTAGGGCTTGGTGGCTCGATAGAAGTTGGGTCCGGTGTTGGATCTGGTACGGTGGTTTCCGACTGGTTGGTGCTGTCACCCATGACATGTATCGTACCGTGATTCTCCCAAATTGTGGAGAGTCGCTGAACATCGACCGGAGTTGGTCGCTCGTCGTCCACAGATGATGCCATTGCGAGCTGTGGTGTCGATCGATCCGATGGCTCTGAGACCTCGGTACTATGGAGTGAGTGGCTCGTACGGCGGTGAAGATCTGACATGAGGAACGGACAATATTAAACGATATCGGAATATGTAAGGAAAACACCCCTGGTTATATCAGAGCCAGTCTGGGGTAGCCAGCTACCCAGGAGATCGTTTGGGAGGTGAAGCGTTCTGACTGAAGTGTTGAGAAATTGGAACGGAACACCGAAATAAACTGTTTATTATCTCGACCCGAAAGCCCTCGCCGCACTGACTCTTCCCGTTGTTGCCTCTTCATCTCATCGCCATTTTGAGAAGCTACCTGGTGGGAAGACATGAGGAGAGATTGTGATATGACAAGGGAAAGGGGACAGAGGCCAGAAACGACGTAAAGTTGGTGTAGGGATCCATGTCATGAAGTATCCTTCACAGTTAAGTAGCATGTTCGAATGGCGTTCTAGTTAGGCGCACATGCCATGAAACCACGCCCGTGGGGCAAACGAGCTGCAAGGGCTCTGAGTTTAGAGCGGCGTGTTCTCAGCTGGAAGCTCTGGGACTCTGGGTTGACGCCTTGGGGCAAATGCACGATTGTGCACAGATGGTCCGAGTAACTTCTATGCATACCGCAATAGACAACAGCACGCAAGTACATGTACCTCTCCAAGGCCCTGACAGGAAGCTCAGTCCGTCATGATGCAGGACCCTGAATTCTCGAGCACCTAGTGTTTATAATAACGAATACGAGCTGTCTGTGAGGACAACTCGGGCGAATTTGAGGAGTACCGAGAGAAGAACTGGTGATGGATCGAGCGAGGGAGGCTTGCGCTACCGAACTGCTTAACTCAACTGGCCCAGCTTAAGCGGCGGACCTCCGAGAGAGGTTTCTCTATGAGAGCAACGAGAGATTCAAGATTGAACTTGGCTTCCTTTCAATGCCCATGCTTAAATAAAATTGGTAGGTAGTGAAAACGCAGGCAGGGCGTGATTGTTGGGTAGACTGGGTGGCTTGAGCTGCCACCATGAGCGAATGTTGCTTCTTGCTATCATTCAATGTACCCAGTTCAGACCACTCTTCTTCCTAGGTACTGTATTCCACATCAACCGGAGTTGGTACTCCGTTCATCCTTGAACCACTTTGTCCAGAACATTGATGGCCCGGGTCGGCTGTATCCGCCCTTCCCACCACTTTGGAAGCGCCCTGGGTCCGGCGATCTCGGTCGATTTCCTGCTACTAGCAGAATCCCACGTTAACCGAAACCTCAACTTCCCCCTAGATGGCTGATATAACAGCTGCTTGGCCACCTATTCAACGCAGACTAGACACTTGGAATGCCATCCCGCTGCACCGCAAGAAAGGACCGAAGAAAGAATCAGCAATAAGAAGGTGTATTTTCTACGAACCACACAAGACTTTTCCAGAAAGTCTCAGCCCTGCCACGATCAAACAACGGCGCCACCAAGCCCAACTGATACTGAGTCGCACACCTTTCCCCGGATCAACATCGAAACCACGAAACAGGCTAGGGAGAAATTTTGCCTTTGAAACGTTGCATGATGCGGGACTTCCCGCACAAGCCTCTGAGAGAGTGCCCCGCGCGTCAACGCGTGGGTAGGAGCCCAGTGCTGGGCCGCCCGTTGCTCGCCACCGAAGGCGCACCCCAGTGCACATGGGTATATGAGGACGGGACTGGCTGTACTTCTTCAAGCCCAGTCATCTCTCCCTCTCTCCATCATCAACCAGATAGTTGAATCATAGATAACCATCATCAACTGTGGCGTTTCCACTCATCACCCAACATCGAAACCACGAAACAGGCTCGGGAGAAGTTCTGCCTTTTCCTCCGTATCCCAGTAAGGTTTCTGCCTTCTCGGAGGTTGATGTTAGATGACGTGAGAAGCTGTAAAAACGAGTCCGAAGCAAGCCGAAGTGCGCTTGTAGTCAACGGCTCTTGGCACCGGAGGTACGGCCCCGGCCTTGGCAGCGAGTTCGGGTCTTGGCATCCCGTCTATTTCGCGATGATCGCCGTTTCCCGGCTCCCCCGGCCCCGAGCCCCACACTTCGTAGTACATGCAGCAATGCGCATAAGGACTCAAACCATTCAACGCTTTTGAATAGTGAATTCCTCCGCTGAGAAATATCATATGATTCTTTGTTGCTTGTCCATATCCCAAGTACTACCACTTGTAATATCTATTGCGGTATCTCCTCCGAAACTGAAACCTAAAGCCCGCCCGCTGTGTACAATTTTGCCAAGCCGACCGACCTAACTTTAACGCCGTCCCATGACAATGCTCACTCTAGCATGCTGATTAAAAAGACTTCAGAAGAACACAACCCCAACGAATAATGCGACCCTACCCAATTCGAGACCTCCTTTGCCGTAAGACTGCAATACAAAATCTTGCATCAACGGACCAAGGGATGGACTTGCTTGTTTGTCAACCTCGTCACAGTAATTGTGAAGTTGTTGGGGTCGAAAGTCTTCGTCCCCGGGTTATACCAAGCCGTCACATATGCTGTTAACCAATGCTTCTTCGTCTCAAACTCGATCATGCCGGCAAAAGCCATTGAACCGCGCGGCGGGTCAGGTCGAATTGGTTTCCACACCTTCCTGTACGTCTTTGTGAAGATTTCCCACGGGCTGAGCCCGATGAATTCCCGCAACTGGGCCAAAGCCCATTCCTTGTCCTTTTTCTCATCACCGGTCTTGGGCGTCTCTTTGCTGGGAGGGGGTTGATTGGTAGTCGTGAGTATCCCCTTGTTCTGTGTAGCAGCATCGGGATTCATACGTCTTGCCGATACCAGGGCTCCGGGATCCTGCACATCCTCCGGTCGTTGTGTTGCCTGTCGCCGGATGTTGTCCATCATCCTCTGAACGTCACCAGTGACCGTCGACGGCAGTCCCGTCGTTCCAGTTCCCTGAGCTGGTTGTGCCGGGGACCCCGAAGGAGTGAAAAGACTCGAAAGTCCGAAAAATTGCGAGACTTCCATCGCTTTCTTCTTCACAAGGGTCGTGGCGACGGCCCATAGCGATAACGCAACAGGCCTGGGCCAGAACAACCGCTCGGCTTTCTTCACCTGTGGCGAGTCCATCGATATACTGGCCCATCCGATTTCATAAGGCGTAATCATGATTCTGCGATGAAACGATAAGTGTTAGTCCGACTCGAGCGCGCACAGGATCTGGTCTGAGACTTACCCGTAACGTTCGTATTCGGGAGGTGCGACCAAAGGGTAAAACGCTTGGAGCCATGCCTTTTTGACAGTCATCTCTGGTCCAACATAGTTTGTCAAGATTCGCTGGTTCTTGAGCATCTTCAAGACCAGGCTGGCGATGTCCCCTGTTAGACATGTTAGTCTGCATATCCTTCCAACAAAGTTTGGCCGGCGCAACTAACCCTGGACTTGCTGTATCCGTTTCTGATCTTGTGCGAACTTGACGAACTCTTTCCACTCCGTACTGCGTGCCGAGTATGGCTCTGGCTTGAGTTTTTGCTCCGTCAGGGGAAAAGGGATGAAGACGTAATCTTCTTCTTCTTCGTCGTCCTCCTCACTATGGCCGCGGCCGTCGTCGAGATCGTCCAGCGCATTCGAAAGCATCCCCAGCACTTTCCTGTCGTAGTACTTGACGCATACGTATGTAGTAATGCCGAAGGCCAGGGCCCGGAAGATTCGCCTGCAAAAAAAAAAAAAAAACCATGTCAGCACGACAGACCCTATCCATCTGGAATTATCAAAAGCTTTACCTTCTAAAGGAGCCATGCTTGATCCGTACTCCTTGCACAACAATCGGTTGCCCATGTACAACATATTTCGATAAACGTCGGGAGGCCATGAGCGACCTCATCGGTCGGAAGAGGCGCGATGCCATATTGGATGACTGTGGCACGCCCAGGCGGCGGCCGAAGTGTTGGAAGGATCAAGGGTCGCGGCCGCTCGTATGCGTCGAAGGATACCAGATAAGAGGAGAGAACGGCGAAACAGCCTCGGGCTTGACTGTGCTCGGCTTCCTGCTAGTTCGTTGCGGGTTCGGGATGTGCCTCTCCGAGGACAGGTCAAGGGCGCGCGGATATATCAGCCTACTCAGCTCTACCGATACTCGAAGCGGGCGGGCGGCAGACGATGTCGGGGATAGGTTTCGTGACGATTGCGACAGCGGGACACAAGGCCAATCTAAGATGAAAGTTGAAGACCGCGGCCAGGCTTCCGGGGTCTGGTCGCGCCTCGAATTCCGGCAGAAGATGGAGGGTCACAGTGCGAGATTCGGGTCTTCTATGCCTGTCCACTCCAGCGGTTCCAGGACGCTGTTCGGTTCAGATGCTGAATCCCACAGTGCAGTGCTGTTTCCCTTTTTGCACGCTGTTCCTCAATGACACCAACAGTGCGTTGGGGTAAATGCGTCACTGTACTACCTCTAACCATCCCGGCGTTCCGTCGGTCCTCCACGTCAGCCAGTTGAGGGCAGCTGTCACGGTCGTGCTTCACAATGGGCGGGTAGGCTAGCGGCCGGGGTACCAATGGGCAGCGATGACCACTGCAGTTCAGTGGGCGCATTCCTGTCAGCCCAGGCTGCTGGGGAAAGCTCCATCCAACTCCGACTTCCAGTCCATTGTGTCTCCGCCAGCGACTCTACCAACGTCACTGGAACAATCCTCATCCAACATCACCACGCACCGGCCGCATCAACCATTCGGCTGCTCTTCAAGATGAGGCTCCTCACCAGTATAACCGTGGCAGCCCTGTCTGGGCTTGCTGCTGCTGCTGCATCACAGCAGAGCGCCGATGTCTTCATCCTCGATTCCAAGCAACAACAACAAACATCCCGCGAAGTACCCCGGCTACCAAAAGAAGTCGTTCGCCATATCCTTCTCCAAAGGGTAAGCCAGATACATGCGACTCAGCGCGTAACCTACGTATTCAAGGCTGGTCTAACTCGTCCCACAGACATCTAGAGACAACTACGGCAGCGACCTTCGCGACATCCCTAGCTCTATCGATACCGAGGCCGCGATCAGCTTCCTTGTGAAGTACGGCAAGAGTCCCGCACCTCTTTTCTCCCAGACCGAGACCAGCGACCCATCACAACTAGTTGTTATCCTGGAGGGCATCACTGCCGAGAATGCTGGGCCTTTGAAGGAATCACTCGCCAAGTCAAGCCAGCGTGCCGCTTTCGCCATCTCAGATCCGCCATCCAAGGTGGCCAATGATCGTCTGATGTCGCTTTTCCAAAACCTGGGTATTGCTGCGCCAAAGCAGTGCGACCTGGTCTCTGCCATCAACCCTGTCAACGGAGACTGCTGGACGGGCTCCTCGTCAGTGGTCAAGTACGATGTACAGAAGGTGCGATACAGAGAGAACTCCCTCCTACACCCGGTGCCAGTGCCAGAACTAACTCAATCCCTGCTTAATAGTCGCCCGAGGCCCTTGATACTCTCGTCGATAACCTGAGCCGTCTCAACAAGTTCATCTCCTCCGGCGACCTCGAGGCCCTCCTCGTCCTCATGCCCGAGTCGAGCCGGTCCTCCAAGCTCAACCAGTGGAGCGTCAAAGCCGCCACCGGCGCCTCCGATCTCCGCCGCCGCTTCAACTCCGAGACCGTCATCGCCGACGACTCCGTCCGCGGCGCTGCGAACGCCGCGACCCAGCCTCCCGTCTCCCGCCCGACTAAGAGTCCTCTGCAGACCGCCGCTAAGAAGGCGATTCCGCAGTGTTTCACCTCCGAGAAGAGCTGCGTGGACCAGACGGGCAACTGCTCCGGCCACGGCCAGTGCGTGAACAAGTGGGGAGGCAAGAACGGTAGTACCGAGGCCGGCGGCGCTAGCTGCTTCGTCTGCAAGTGCCTGGCCACTATGGACAACCGCCCCGGGGCTCAGGCTAAGGGCGACAAGAGTCTGCACTGGGGTGGTAACATGTGCCAGAAGGAAGACGTCAGCATGCAGTTCTGGCTTATTGCCGGGTCTACCATTGCCCTTATCGGTGCCATCACCTTTGCGATTGGACTGTTGTTCGAAGTGGGAGAGGAGAAGATGCCCGGTGTTTTGGGCGCTGGTGTGGTTAGGGGGTCTTCGGCCAAGTAAGAGGTCGATTGTGATCGAAGAAAGAGCCAAAAACTCTCGATCAAGAAGACGAGTATGAGAGGATGACAACGTCAAGAAAAGAAACAGAGAGCTATCGTATGCTTATTGGTTAGATGCGGAGGGCATGGGGTGTGTGCGTGTGGTGTAATCAGACATCCTTAGACTGTTGGCTGGTTGTACCATTATTGATTTTACATTGTTCAACGGCGTCGGCATCATTGGCAGGCAGGCAGGTGGGCAGGGATGGATCGAGATATGGTTAACGCAAAGTACGAGATAGGAGATGGCATGGTTTCCTTTCGTTTTCCATGAAGACCTAGTATAAAACAGACATTGACAACGGAATGAAGCTCAGGGGTTAAGCTTGCACAGAATACTGTTTGTCATTGAAAATATCAGATCGCTTTGAGTTCATTGTTGTAAGCCCTTATAGTCTATGCCCATCGTACCCATTACATCGCCATCTCAGTGTCCATATCATTCGGTCCCTTTTCTTGCGTTGGCGTCCCAAAGTTTTCCAACCCTCTCTCCTTGGGAGTCGCAGCTAGATCTACCGCAAACCCAGGCGGTAATGGCCTCAAAGGCGACTGCGTAACAAACTTCAACGCATCACCAGGCGTAGTGGCCCCGGTAGCAGCAGCGGCACTTGTCGCGGCCGTCGCCGCAGCACCGGCAGCACCAGCACCAGCAGCAGTAGCACCGGCAGCACCAGCACCGCCCATAACCGCTTGATACTTGGCCCCCGCTTGATTCAATATCTCCTGCACCTCCGTCTCCCTACTCAATATCTCCCCCTTCTCCTTCTCCAGACTCTCTATCCTCGCCTTCCGCCTGCTCACCTCATCCTCCAACCCCTGTACCAAACCCCTCATCCTTGCCAATACCTCCCCGAGCTCCGGAAGCGGTTTCATCTTGGGGATCTGGTTCACCCCTCCTCCTCCTTCTTCGTCAATCTCCATCATGTCGTCCTCCGGTTTCTGCAGCCCATCCATACCCGCCCGCCGCTGCGCAGCCTCGTACGCAGCCCGTCGCTCCGCCTCGCTGTCGTCGCTCTCGGCGTCCGAACCGGCCTCCGCGGCCTGGATCATCTCCGCCATCTCCTGCCGGTGCCGCTTGGCGGCTTCGCGCTCGGCTTTGCGGCCCAGCGCCAGGGAGCCGTCGGTCACGAACTCGTCGTAGCCTTCGCCTAGGTCTTCGTCTTCGGCTATGAGGCGCGATTCGGATTTCTTGGACTTTTTGTTGAGGCTGAGTGTGACGCGTTTTCGGTCGTCGTCGTCGCTGTCGGAGTTATCGTCGAGCGAGATGAAGTCGTGTTCCTTGGCGAGGCGCGCACGCCGCTCTTTGCGCTCGCGGATTTCGGCTTCGGTGAGGATGTGGGCTGCCGCTGACGGGCCCGCATCGCCGGTGCGCGCTACAGGCAGGTCGCGGGATTGTACGATCATGGCGCCGTCGAGCTCGGAGGGGTCGAGGTCCATTGCGTCGTCTGTGGCCCCGGTCGCAGCAGGTGGCTCCGGCGGTGGCGCGCTGTGGGCTTTGAGGCTGTCGTCGTCGTCATCGTCGATGATGCTTAGTGAAGCGAGGTTCTGTGGTGTGGCTGGCGTGGAGGTTTGGAGTTCTTCGAGGTACTCTTTGCTGTATCGAGGCTTCTCTTCGTCCGCGCCAAATGTGCCGAATCGTGCGGTCAGGGCCGATTTGCGAAGCGCGTTCTTCTCGGCTACTCGCTGGCTTAGCGACTTCTTGCTGGGTGCGCTGACCACGTCGCTGCTGGCAGTTGTTGTCGTATCATTGCCGCCGTCTTCCGTGTCGCCTTCGCTGGCTCCGAATGATAGTTTCGAGACGCGCTTCTTCTTGCTGGAGGCTGAGCGACCGAAGCCGGGCCGTACCACGAGCGGCACACCAGTGTCCTCGTCGCCTTCCGCCTCATCTGGTGCCGCACTCGTACTGGTTGAAATAGGTTTGGCGGCGTCGCCGTTGGTGTCTTGTGCATCGTCGTCGTTGTCATCGTTGATCTTGATCGTTCTTCGTAGTGACGAGGATTTAACAGGCTTGCTGCGCCCAAACTTGATCGGTCCTTGTGGTACTGGTTCTGTTCGAAGGCGTATCAGCTTGCTTGTTCTTTGGTTTGGTATCAGCACTGAAAGTTTCTATGCTGGGTATGGATGGGCATTGCCATGTAGCAACTTACGTTCTCTCTTCGGCTCTTCTCCTCCAAGCAGCGTAGGAAGGTCGCCATCCTCGTCGTCGAAAGTCTGGATAATGCGCGGCTTGCGCTTTCCGAAAGAACTCATTTTCGAGATATTCGACCCAGATAGTGTCTAGCAAGTTGTTTGGAAAAGAATTGGCAAATGCGATGTGTTGTGGCGGGTGTGGTGTCGTAGTTATGAAAAGTTGTCCAAAGCAGTTGTGAAGGTTCAGAATGCACCTGGAGATGACGCTGGCGGGCAACTGGAATGTCACTGAACGATGACCCCCGAAGACATGGAACGCGAATTGCGGGTTCCTTATCTTATCAGTGGCCCCACGTGATGGCTTGGCGGCCAAAAATCACTGGGGACAGTCGCGAGTGCACGCGCTGCACAAGGCCCGCCTTCCAAGTCGTTCAGTGGAGAGTTCCCAGCCAGAACGACGCCATTGCCATTGCAGCAACTCGACTCTTGAGACCATCCCAGACCACCAACACAACCTCAAGATACAATGGCACCCGCACAACCTGAGCTCAAGAAGGTATGTAATTATTCTTGGAGATTTAGATTGAACATCAAATGGCAACTGGCTGGTCGGAACTTTGCCATTGTCGCATTTGGAACGCCATGTTATTGTTTGTTTAGTATGGTGCAGTGAGCTAACCGACCACTTTTTGAACCAGTACCTCGACAAGAGGCTCTTCGTCCAACTTAACGGCAGCCGCAAGGTCATTGGTGTTCTCCGTGGCTACGATGTACGAGACCTTCCATTTACATTCGAACATGATAACTGACGGTTCGCGACGTCATAGGTCTTCCTGAACATTGTTCTGGACGATGCTGTCGAGGAGAAGGATGGTGGTGAGAAGGTCAAGCTCGGCATGGTGGTATGTTGATTCTTCCGAGGCAGGTGTTTTCGTGTCATTTTGCTGACAACTGTCTACGCAGACTATCCGTGGTAACTCCGTTGTGATGATGGAGGCCCTCGAGAGGATCGGCGGCGACGAGAGGGGAGGACAGCGCGGCTAAATCAACGATTATCTTCTCGCAACACGATAAAACGACCCCACGCATATACAAAAGCCTACATCAAAAAAGGCGAGGCATCGGAATAAGCGGATGGCAATTGACGGGATTTGATTATATACCAAGGCGATTTACAGTTTACGACGACAACTATAATGTCCCAACGGTCTTGGACGGTGAAAAGGTTGGTGGGCTGGTACGGCGTTCAGTTTCACACGAAGCATGTATTCGGGAAAGCAGCATATTCTTCAACTTAGAAAGGGAAACATCCGCGGCGGTGGGTCGAAGAAAGATACCCAAAGGACATATTTTACGTACAGCTCTTCTCCGACAGCAGCTGCTTCCACGTCTTCTCGTCATAACCGTCCATCATGCGGTCTCCGTACGTCCGCACCCAGCCTCGAATCCCGCCCGTCATTACCTGCGACTGAAGATCGCCACCCACTTCGTCGATATAGTCTTGCATCCAGGCGGCGCATCGAGGACCCCGACCGGCGGAGGAGCCTGTGGGAAGAAGCGTTGGTGTTAGGGAGGGTCAATGGAGGTACGAGTTCAAAGCGCATAGGTTCGGTTTGACTCTGTCCAAGAGTCCATGAGAGAGAAAGACAAGCACGTACCACAATAAAAGATCACCTTTTGGATCCCGGCCTGTTTGCACAAAGCGTACAAGCTCTTGCGCGTGGGGTAGAAGCTATGGGCGGGCAGGTTGATTGATGAGCTGACAGTTCCACCGGTGCAGTCTGTCCGTCGACAATCGACAAGCAAGAATTTTTGCGATTGCGGCTGGCCATCAACATTTTCTTGTTGCTCAAGAAGCTCGAGGACAGCCTGGGGCTCAATATGGACTGGCGTCGAAGTTGGCTCTGGGAATGCTGCCCACCACGGTGTGCCATCCTCGCGCCTAGCCATGCGCAAGCAATGTTCGTGAACGTGTATCGTCATGTTGGTCGTCAAAGCTCTACTTTTTGTTGACTGGCTTCGTAGTTGAAAGTCGAACAAGTCTGCTCTTCGCGCTTTATGCGGTACACAAAGGTGGTTAGGGGTAAACTGTTTGTTTGAGGCTGGCGCGGCTCAAGATCTAGTCGCATCTTTCAGCAAGCCACGACGCCGAAACTCATTTCGCGCGACAAATCCTCGGTTAGTCGCGTCCTATCATAAATCCCTTGCCTCGTACGATCGGATCTTTCGTTCTCAGCGATGAGATATAACAGGCGGAGGTCGTCCTTCCTGGGTAACGACTGTTACTCCATGGAACTTTCCAGGACGTCGCCGCTAATCGGAAACGACAAATTGATGCCTTGATCAGCTTCATCAGCGCGGTATACTACCTCGTCTCGTCGCTTGCGGTCACTCCAGTAGCTCCGAGTATGCTGTCGTTCTTATTATCCATATTTGACTCCCTTGCCCATTTACCCGTAGATGACTGATTGCCCCGAGATCTTGGTTCACTCGGCCCGGCATGTTAGGGTAATATCACATACACATTCGACTGTTTTGTTGTCTCAGTCGCGACATCAGGACATTTGAGACGAAGCGTATCAAGTACACATCGTGTGGTGGATGAAGAGTGTGTTGAATAAAGAAAGACTGAAGTGCGTCTTTTAGAAGGTATATAGTAATGAAATGCTCCCACCAACAGCCCAGCGACACCGGAAAGCTGTTCCCAACCTAGCGCAACTCATCACCGCTTAATCACACCAAAGAATGCCCGTATCTCCTCAATCATTCCTTCCTCATAGTTCCTTGTTCCATTCAGTCGTCATAATACGCCTCCTCAAGCTCCTCTTCATACTCCTCTCTCGCCTCCTCGAGCTCTTCCTGGTCACTACTGCTAGCAGAAGACGACTGTGCCTCTTCTAGAGCCTCCTCGTATTCTTCACGGGCGGAAGCAATTGACTCACGATCACTTTGATCGATCTCCTCACCATACACATTTGTTGTCGGGATGGGACCATCGAGAGGCGGCTCCGCAGGGGGAGGCGGGGGCGGAGCGCCATAATCACCACCGTAACCACCGTAGCCGCCATAGCTATCGCCGCCATAGGCCGCTGGAGGTGGTGGGGGAGGTGCAGCGCGGTGCTCATTATCGGAGTCGGAGTCTTCGGCTACATTGGAGTGTTAATAACAATACATCCTAGTAAATGGCCAGCCACCATTGGGAAGAGGGAGAGACAAAAAAAACTTACCCAGCTCATGAGCAAGAACAGCGCCGCCAACGGCACCAACAGCCAGACCAGCAGCTGCACCCATGTACAGACCACTGTTATCCTTCTTCTTCTTCTCCTTTACCGGCTCGCCACCATACGCCTGCTGCTGCTGATCATAACCGTATCCCTGCGGCGGCGGCGGGGGCTGTTGGTAACCGCCATACTGCCCGGGCTGTCCACCATGTCCACCGCCACCGCTATAGCCATAGTCGGGGGCACCACCACCGCCGTACTGCTGCTGCTGGGGAGGAGGATAAGAACTGCCGTCGCCGTGGCCGCGCGACTCTTGCTCACCACCACCGGCACCGCCGGCGAGCCTGGATCTCTCAAAGCCAGGGGCTTCCCACTGCGAGCGGCCCGTGGCCTCCTCAAGGTAGTACCATCTCTGATACTCGTCGTCCCACTTCGGGGTCCAGCCCGAGGGCAGGGGCGGCTTGTCGGAGGGAGGGTTGTAAGGCGGCGCTGGACGGGATCCGTAGCTCGGAACGGGAGCGCCGGGAGGGGCAGTGTAGCCTGGCTGTTGCGGGGAGTACTCTCCTTGGTAGCCGGGCTGCTGGGGTGGAGGGTGCTGGTAGCTGCCGCCGTGGTATGGAGGCTGGGACTGTCCCTGAGGAGGCTGAGGAGAATATGATTGTTGCGGTGGCTGCTGAGGAGGGGGGTAGTAATCGCGCGAACCTGGTGGACGGGGTTAGTGATGGATGTTTGGGAGTGATCATGGTGTTGCGGGGACTTACCGGAGTAGGCCGGCTTTTCCTCCTTCTTGTCGACGAGACCTAGCTTGCCTAGATCTTCGGCAAGGTCTTTCTTGAGCTTCTTGAAGAACGACATGGTCACGATTCAGCTTCCTCTGCGCTGTGGGTTCTATGGTGTAGCGGAGTGAGAAGAAGAAGTGGAAGGTCCGAGGTTGACGGGAAGATGACGAGAGAGGTCAAATGAGCACGAGCACCTGCCGTGAGAACCTTTAGGGCCAGATATTCAAGCAATGATTAAGAAGGCTCGGCACAGCACTAGGTACCTAAAATGGGATGGATATCATCCGACGAATATCAAACGCCATCCATGAACACCTCATGTAACACGCAATGCTCGGCGTGTTGGCTGCCTCTCAAATGCTCACAGCATCCTGGAGTCACTGTGCCATCCGAACTCCAAGAGCCCCTCATAGTGACCCCTCCTCCGCAAATGAAGGGCCCCGTTCTTCATGGAAACACAGGCGGTTTTGCTGTTGAAGCCAAGCATCTCGGCGTGGTCAAGAATGGAAAGAGGAAGATGATGCAGGTGTGGGGAGCTCTTGCTTTTGGGGTCTTGGGTTCCCCGCTGCTGCGGGGATGGCAGCAATGGGACGGGAGGTAATCGGCAAACCCCAGGCTCATGTACAGCGGGATGACGCGCGGTTTCAGGGACTCCATTGCAGTTCCAGCTTGGCGTGTGAGACACAGCTGAAGCAGACAACACACTGACCTCCTCGCTCCCCAAAGACAACCTGTGCATTGGACTTCCATAACAAAAGTTTCTCCCACTCAGTTCTCTTTGTCTTCTCTCCACTTTCCTCTTTCCCGTCTATCCTTCATCGATCACCATCTGATCTTCACCATGTCGTACGGATACCCTGGACAAGGCTACGGCCCCGGTGGGGGACACCACCAACCTCCCCCTCCTCAGTGGGATGACCAGCAGCAGCAACACTACCAGCAAGGAGGCTATGGCTATTCAAACCCGGGACAGGGCCAGTACAACCCTCAGCCTCCTCACGAACAGGGCTACGGAGGATATCACCAACAACCTCCCCCTCCTCAGTACAACGAAGGGCAGTATCCCCCACAGCAACATCACCAACAGGGACACTCCCAACGCCCCTCTGGTCCGCCTCCCGATGGCTATGATACCTATGGCTACCCAATCGGTTCTGGTCACCAGGCTCGTGACCAGGGACAGCACGAGATTCACGGGATTCCCCAGGGCACCCAGCAGTTCGGCCATGGTGCTCCTGAAAACTATAGCTTCCAGTACTCCAACTGCTCAGGTCGCCGCAAGGCATTGCTGATTGGCATCAACTACTTCGGCCAGGATGCCGAGTTGCGCGGCTGCATCAACGACACCAAGAACGTCTCCGCCTTCCTCGTCGAGAACTATGGCTATAAGCGCGAGGATATGGTCATTCTTACCGATGACGCCACGAACCCCCTCTTGCAGCCTACAAAGGAGAACATGCTTCGTGCCATGCAGTGGTTAGTCGCTGGTGCTCAACCCAACGATGCCTTGTTCTTGCATTACTCCGGTCAGTCAGCTTTCCCTTCTGAACTATACCCGCGTGCTCCTACTGACTAATCAACACTTCAACAGGCCACGGTGGGCAGACTAAAGATACCGACGGCGATGAGGAAGACGGCTTTGACGAGGTCATCTACCCCGTTGACTTCAAGACCGCCGGCCACATCGTCGACGATGAGCTTCACTATACTATCGTGAAGCCCCTCCAACCTGGTGTGCGATTAACTGCCATCTTTGACAGCTGTCACTCCGGCTCCGTTCTTGATTTGCCCTATATCTACAGCACCAAGGGCGTGGTCAAGGAGCCTAACCTTGCCAAAGAGGCTGGTCAAGGTCTGCTCGCGGCTGTTGGCTCCTATGCTCGTGGCGATCTTGGAGGCATGGCTAGCAGCCTGTTCTCCGTCGCTAAGACAGCGTTTGGCGGCGGCAATGAGGCCTATGAGCACACCAAGCGGACAAAAACATCGCCTGCCGATGTTATCATGTGGAGTGGTAGCAGGGACGACCAGACTTCGTATGTTGCGATCCCCCCCCCCTTGGTAGTCGAACTGGGTTCGGTCATCTGGGATGAAAAAAATACTGACACTGCTTTCAGGGCCGACGCGACCATCGCGTCCCAGGCCACGGGTGCCATGTCCTGGGCCTTCATCTCCGCCATTAAGGCGAACCCCAAGCAGAGCTACGTGCAGCTGCTCAACAGCATCCGCGACGTGCTCGAGACTAAGTATACGCAGAAGCCTCAGCTCTCCAGCAGTCACCCAATCGGTACGTTTTGTCTTGTGTCCACCACCCCCTTTTCGCTGCGTCTTCGATGTCGTCCATCAATGAAGCCAAGTGCTCATGAAACATGCTGGCTCGGCGTTTCTCAAATTATCTTATCTCAAGCCAAGAGAATCAAAGAACTAACCAGTCGCGAAATTATCTAGACGTCGACATGCTCTTCGTCATGTGATTTCCGCCGGCAATATGTCGGGCTCCCTTCCTTCAGCTGAGCAAGCTTGTCGGTTCGCTCCGCATCAATGCCCATCCTTTCCTGTCCACGTTGCTCTCTCTCGCTTCGGTTGACTTGCATTCATCGGATCGGACAATGCCGATCTGGTGAGAGAGGAGCAAAGAGAGAGCCGAGAGAGAGCCGAGAGAGAGGCCCCCGAGGTTCGCGAACGTGGCACTCATCGTTGGATGTGGGTCGCCCTGTCGATCTTGCTGCTCAATTCTCTTAAGGGGCATCGGGGGGTCGTCAAAAATTCCAAGCCCCTGGAGATCGGCAACTTTCTATACCCCCCCTTCTGGCGGAACTCTTCAAAAGGATCAGCGAAATACTCGGACAGAACCGGAGGGGACAAGGGCAAGGGGAAAGAAAGAATTTTTTCTCTCTCATATCAAACTTAACAACTGAAAACAAGGTGTCCAATTCGCAATTGGGAAAGAAAGAAGGGAAGAAACAGGGCAATATCCCAAAACTTGGAAGGGGATGGGGATCTCGATCTTGATATAGGTTGATATGGGAAAATCACGGGGGTAGTGCGCTAATGGTATCCAGGCGGGCTGCAACCCTCGGACTTGACCAATTTCTTCGGGGACCTGCGTTCGTAGATCAGAGCATGGGGAACACATGGCATGGACGCCGACCGATTCCCTGGGGGCCTGGGAGAAAGAAAAAAGCAAGTAAAGATGGTGCAATTGGGCACGTTCATTGGTGGGAGTACGAATGCGATGCTGGAGTATCTAAACCTTTCTGTCGGTATATCCCATGGTTGTGGTTCAAGATATTTGAGAGATCTCGATGGAATGTCTTGCAGGAGTATAGCATAGATGGAGATGTGAATATGACTTATGATCCTCGGTGTCTTGTCCCCGGTCAAAGTCCATGCCGAACAATTTCTCCATGGTCTTGTTGTGTTATCAGTGCAATGTAATCAGACGATGTGAATGGTAGTCGTAACGATGTGAATAACATACCGGCTAATTGGGTGTTATATTCTCCATAGTCTTGGTGCGTTATCAGATTGTCCATAATCGCGATGGATTCGGAAGTTATTGTGCATAGATCGTCCACGGCTGAGATTTCGGTCAAAGTAGCTCCAGCCCGTGACAACATGGCAGTAAATATGCAAAGGCTTTGAAGGGCTGAGATATGAGTCGAGTTGTCTTATATGTGTGATTCTGTCTGTATTTGTTGTATATGCAGTCTGGCCTTGTCCTTGTCCTTCGCGGCTCACACCACCAAGTACCGATGCAACAGAAGAGAAGAAGAAGAAGTAGTAGTAGGAGTTGACATCGGAAAATGAAACACGGTTCATGCTTTGTGTACTTGTCAAGAAAAATTTGCTTTTGGCCCTATAATACTAATGTTTTCCTTCCTCCCATTTGACCAGACCTCAAAAGTGTGGCTGGTCCAGATACCCGTTGTTAACTTACATACACTCCATATAATACAGACACACACACACACACAAAACTTTGTTTTAGATATTATACACTAAACAGGTCGACCATAATGAGGAACTTGACATATGATGATGGGTATATTGATAAGGGAAAGGGTGGGGAAAATGTTGTGAGTTGAAAGGACGTTAAGAGAGGTAGGTAGATGGAGAGAGAGATAAGAGAGGTAGTTAGGTAGAGAGATAAGAGAGATAATAATTGGTTAGGGAGAATCCAATCTGGTATGATTATAAGAGAGAGAAAAAGATGGAGGGGGAGATATGAAAGAATGTAGTGGTGGTGGTGATAAAAGTGGTAATACACAAGTTTCGACATGATTGGGGATATGCTGGCTGACTGTTCTTCTTCTTTTTGTGTGTCTTCAGCCAGCCCAAACTCATCAAAATCACATAGCCACATCCGTTGTTGTACATGATATAACATAAACATAGTGAGAGAGGGTTGGGGGTGGTGGTGGAGAGCAGGCTAGCTAGCTGCTTGCTTCTCGCTGGGTATGTAGGTGGAATAAAAGATCGTGGAAGATTTGGTTGTGAATAGGTAACATTAACGATAGTATTTCTCATTGCGTACTGAATTGTGGTTTCTTTTCTTTTCTTTTTTTTTGTTTTGTGCCTCAAGCCCGAATAAGTGGCTTTAGGAAGCCCAGTGCCTTGTGAAGACTCTTCCTGCTCTTTACGGTCTCATCCTGGGAAACGAAAGAATCCCCAGAGTCTCGCCTTTCGCGGACGTACTTGGGCCACGTGTTTGTAAGCACGAGGTACTTGATGCTAGACTGAGCGGCATCGAAGACGGCAGCGTCAAAGGTTTGTGGGATATCGCCCGAGTAGTAGAGAGCTGCGTTACGGGGATGTGTGGCGTGGGAGGTCGGTGGTGGGTCATCGAGAGGGAGGGTCTCGACAGACCTGAGTTCACCCATGCTCATGGACACCGCTAGCGAGTCTGACTTGGAGAAGATGTTGACCTCGCTGTCGTTTGTGTGTTTGTTCGATCCGGACCAGTTAACTTCCGCGAAGGGTGTAGCTCCACCACGGTTGATATCTCCGTACATGTTCCTAGCGGCACGCTCAAACATACCCTCTAGCTTACGCAGCTCGTGCCACGCAATGTTGATAGGGAACTCGGCGTCTCTGGTGCTGATGAACTCGGCATAAATACGAAGCGCCTTGGTAAACTGCTGGCGGACAACATCCGGCTCGGCGTTGTGACGGTTGCGGACGAAAGGAGGCGGCAGAGCGGCCTTCCACTCAGCCACAGCAGTGAGGAAAGCGATGTTCTCGCCCGAGAAATCGCGGCGGGCAGAGAACTGGCGAAGAGGTTCCGGGTTCTTTTCGAGAACATGCTCAAGAGCGGACATTGTGAGAACGCTATCATCGGTGGCGATCTTGGGGTCTGGCTGAGATCCTTGGCCCATCTCCATAGTCGAAAGCTTCTTCCATGAATCTCTGACTCCGCCAGTGAAATGGTGTTCTGCAACCTTGGTTGAGGTTGGGCTAAGAGCAGGTCCGCTATTGTCGCTGCCCCTACGCTCGGCATTGTTGTCGTCGCTACGGGCGCGCAGCTTCTTGGACTCCCAAGTGGCAATCGAATCAAGTGTCTCCTGACGCAGGTTGTTGTGCTTACGAACTTGCCAGCAAGGGACAAAGATGGTAAAAATCTCCATGAACATGATGGAGAGACCGATCCTGTTTGAACGAATATTTAGATATTGCCATCTGGTGAGGAAGGAAAGCGCTAGACATACCATTGAGGGGGGACGAAAACCGCGTTCACCGGAGCCATACCGGGAACGTAAAGAGCAATGAGCCACATAGGAGCCGCAGGCAAGCCAGCAATGCAGCAAGCCATGGTCTGGAGCTGCCAGCCGTGGGTGTCACGGATACCACGAGACTTCCAAAGAATGATGGGAGCAATAACCCAAGCCCAAAGAAACTGCCAGAACAGCGAAGGCCACCACTCCCAACCTCTGCCCTGCTGCATGGCAATCTCTGCAGGAGTGCCGCTCACCTCAGTACCAGGGATACCAAAGCTGGGGTGGAACTTGCGCGAGATCATGTAGATGATGATAACAACAAAGAGCTAAACGAGGTTAGAGACAAGCCGTGCGGGCTATAATGGTACTACTCACTTGAACGATCATGCCAATGGTAACGCAGGCAAACATCCTCCTCGAATAGTCCATCTTGCGCAGGCGGGCGATAAAGGTAAGCCTCTGTGGCGGTTGCTGCGCGTGCTTTTCGTCGAATCGAGACTCCATCTGGCTCGGATGACTGGCATACCGAGCCTGTGCCCTTGCGACATGAAGGAACTGACTGTTACCGGCTTGGAAGAGGGCAATTCCGAAGGGAAACCAGATGCTCATGATCCAGAACTCGGCGACTTCGGGGGCCATGGGTCCGATACTGTAGCCCAGCTGAACAGAGATCCAGTAGAGATGGAGAAGTGTGATGCCGGCAAAACTGAGAGCAAGTCCGCGTATCCTAAGAGTTGGGATATCACGCCTGAGCCAAAGAAAGACCATGCCAGCCACCACCGCGGTCGTCCAGATAGCACCCCATACAATCCACCAAATACCAATGGCATTGAGTCTTGGTCCAGGCTTGGTGTCAGGAGTGGTGCCAAATTCGGAGCCCACAACCTGAGCCTGGGCAGCGGAAAAGTCGACTCGTTGTATTAGGCGTGGCACAAACATGATGTCGGATATTGTAGTGTCGACGTCGAACGGATATGGGTCGAAGCGGCTCGGAGTGTCGTCGAGACACGTGGGAGGCTTAACCACTAAAGCGCAGTGTCATCTAGTAGTGTTGAGTGGTTGGTATCCGACCAGTAGTCGCTGGTGTCGATGTTGTTTGTTGAAAGGAGCGTGGTGAGTGGGTAGGCGAGCCAAGTGGGTTTTGTATCCTCCGAAGCCTAAGAACCGAACCCGTATGCAGAGCGACGAAAGAGCGACTTGAGCTGGACGTAACAGGAGTAAAGAGAGTGTGATGGTGTGCGGCTCAGCTCACGATATGTAAAACCAGAAAAAGATGTGACGAGATGCACGGAGTATGTATGAAGTAGTCTCCGGGGCGATGCCGAGAGAGATGGGAGAACTTGAACAAGCCACATCCGAGGACGGGTACATGAATGATAGATCACTGCTCAAACCAGCTCGGTAAATGATGTCCAGGATAGCCCCAGGATCTGCCAGGATGTGCACGATGGTGCAGGATGAGTTTGCAAGAAGTGGTTAGGGGGGGTTGTAGATCCCGCGGGATACCTGAACATGGTGTGAACATGGGACTATTCCCACTTCTTCTTGGAGCGCTGGGGGCCCAGTGCGAAGACCTGCATCCCAGCCCATCCCAGCCCATTCCCAGCGTCACTCATTGCGCCCAGCTGAGGATGCAGTGAGTCTGCTATCTCGCAAGACAGAGAGCCAAATCACAACCTTGACGAGCTTGTGGCTGTTTCCGTCATTGCCGAGAATGTCTGGACTGTGCAATCTCTGGTACCGTGACAGTGTGAACGATGGTGAACCATAGTGTAAGTGGGCCAAGCAGAGTCAGAGACATCTCTAGACGGGCAGGTCAACGGCCCGAACAGGAATATCCAAATACTCTGTAAAAGTGGTGTAGTTTGTATAAGAGGAGAGCACTTGAGCCTGTGATTGCAGATCGTTTCATCTCTCTGCCCAAAGCTCCATGGATCTTCGTCACATTTGCTGGTTCCATGTGCCCAGTGGACCCCCCTAATGCTATGTTGCGCAGAGCTCCGGAGCGCCAGAGAGCTCGTGAGGCCAAGGCGCTGACTCGTTGGTTGGCAGATGGCTTGCAGAGGGCAGCGTGGTTAGCACCTGGAAGCGACGCTTCTCCACGCCGATGTCGAGCACTGTGGGGATGGTGTTTACATGGATGACGAAGAAATGAAGACAGCAGAGAAGGACTTCCTCCAGGAACAGGGCATAAGATGGCGCCAAGCGATTGCGAGAAGGGCAAAAGAGAGTCGCTGTTGGGCCGGAGATGCTGTTGACGACCAGACAGGGGAACATGAATCAAGAACAAAACTGCGAACCCAGAACCACTTACCACAGCAAACCCTCAGAGACACCCTCCTGGTTGACTCGGCGAGTGTTTCTCCCTGCTTGGCGCGCTAAGCTCATTGTGTCGATCGCCATTCCAGTGTGCCGACGACTGCGCGGTATTTGAGAGGGTATTTGAGGATGGAGGTCCCATTTTTGAAAAAGGGACGTCGCAGTACGAGAGTGGATGAAGGGATCACGACTTGAATTTGGGGAACCTTGATGGTTTTAGCGTTACTGAAATAAAGGACGGGATCCTCTGCTCATTCAAACCATGAGCAAGTACTTATTCTTGGTCTCATTCCCTGACTTCAGCTTCTGAGGGTGCTGATGTTGGCGGCCCTTGCCGGCGGCGGGGAGGATTTGGCTGACACTCGTCTCATTCTCAACGCCATGTTTGTGACTGGGTCAAGGTGTCTTTGCTGAGTTGACAGTCTCGGGGCCAAGAGGGGGTACTGTCTTGAGGCCTTTGCGAACAGGGGGAATGCGTGAAAGCCATATGTGGTTTCCGATTCTCGTCCGTCGTTCGTCCGGAGGTTTCAAGCTTGACACCCGACAGCGCCGAGTGTCATTGGATTGCTGCCGCTGTCAGCACCTGTCAAGCTTGCTTATTCTCCGCTTAGTCACCTAAAGCTGCTTGGCGACCAAGACCCGCTAGTACGGGTTCGGTCACAGATCTACCACACCTAATTTTGTGGGCCAGGACCAGGCAGGTACCTTACACTATACCTTCTATCTTCGTCGGCATCGGCTCACCTTCCGCAAAGGTTAGCTGGGTAGACTCAAAATGATCCCTAGGTAGACTAAGCCCACTTTTATCGCTAAGTAAGCCCAGCCGCCCAGCCCAGCCCAACCCAGCACACCGTATACAACGTACATATCACTACCCAACTGCCGCTACCGTCGCGCGCCCTCTATTAACGATAATTAATCTTATACAATTAAATAAAACTATCACAAAACTTTACCTTAATATTAAACAACTATTTACAACGATTATCCCTCGTCTTTATTATTATTTAGTACAATATCCTCGACCTCGTAATATTTATTAATATACTGTCCGCCTACCCTCCGTACGTTGTATATTCGTCTAATAAATCAAACTTCTAACTCAACTGACTAAAATGATTAACACTAATAAAATTTAACCAAAATCGCTAGCAAAATACTATTAAATCCGAAAAGTCCGTTTTGAGCAATCACTCTCAACAAGAATACGACCCTCATTACCGAAATCTAGTCGCTATCAATCTACCATCCCTACGAAGAGTGAATAAAAATACAATTACTGTAATCTCCTAACGAGCGCGCTACTATTAAATAACGAATTCCCTCGCTTTCATCCTCGCTAATCCAACGACGAGCGAAACTACTATTTACTTCGTTAGATTACAATAATAAGGTCGCTACGTTCGATGAATTATAAGAGCACGCCGTATAACAAAACTTTACGGTCGTATCGTATAATCAAATAAAAAAAAATGAAAAGGGGGAAGAAACACTCATTACACGTATCGACTATAGCTATATACATAGCTGTATCTATAAAGTTACTAAACAAGGTATTCAAAATACCAATTCGAAACGGCTCGATTGCCTATACTAAACAAAGGTCGTATTGCGGAAAAGGTAAAGTAACTAATAGTTTATTAAAGAGATCAAAAATCATTATAACTACGACTTCGATATTGCTAACCTCACTAATAACGCCGTTTATCGATAATAAGTACGCCGTAACTATAAAAAGGCTATTAATATTACTATCGAAAAATTATCTAATATCGCTAGAATAACCGCTCGTCAAATTACCCATTATTTGAGTAGCACTCTAAATCCTAAAGAAAAAAACTCGGTAACTATCCAACGCGCTAACCGTAATAATCTAATATTGAAATTACGTAATCTTCGAATCCCTATTATAGCGAAGGAAGTATTAAATATTTAATATCATATCCGCCGTACAAAGTATAATCCTTATTCTTTGACCAAAATACTTATCGACTTACTAAAATAATATAAGAACTTTTACAGTATCGAATACTTTATCGATTATAACGAGCAATAAATAATACGAATATTCTGAACTTTCAATTAATATATAGAAATATAAAAAAAGAACCCTCATATCTTATTAATAAATAATATATACAAAGTAAATATTACCCTTTTTTATTATTACCCTTATTAATTTTAATTATTCGAATTTAAAGTCTTTTATTTATCGATAATAATTAACCCCTTTTTTTTCCTTATAAAGTAACTGCTTTAACTTCCCTTTATTTAATATTACTAATATTAATATATTGGACTATAATTTTAATGTCGGCTTCAATCTTTCGAATAGAGAAAAATAAGAGGATTTTAAATAATAGTTCAATTACTTAAAAAGGCTCCAAAAGGATTATAAAATTCCCAACCCCGCAATCCTTATCAACAACTTCAATAGAGGGTTCAAAAAGGCTGCTATTACCACCTACCTAAACGTATTATACTAACTTTATATATAATATATTATAAAGAATATAAACTACTATATTAAAAAGAAATAGATTTAATTAAATAGTATCGAACCAACTCCCAGCCATAATATATTAAATCCTCCGCTAACTATTTAGGATTTAAATAATAATAACTTTAATCCCATATTTTACATTACCTCTATTGTCGATAAGGCTAATAACGAAAATACTAACGAATATATTAACAATAACCTAAAGGAAGATAATCCGGACGAAGTTAATAATACCGCCGCCGCCAACAGCCTTATTTAATAACCTAATAATAAGCAAAGAATTCGTTAAACAATTAAAAGGCTGGTAATTAAAGCCATCGTCGCTCTATAAAATCGTCAAGTACCTACTTTTAACCCTACTCGTCGATTCTACTAAAATTCGTATAAAAGTTTCTAGAAGGCTTAGAAATAAATAATTTATATTAACAATAAAGAGCACTTTAAATAAGTCTAGTATTTAATAATCTATAAATTTAAATAATAAATTTATAAATATTAATTTCCTCTCTCTATAATATATTATATACCTTTTTCACCTATCCTTTTTTTTTTACTATTAACAATTTCTTATTATAATTCTCCTCGCTTACCTTTACAAATATTACCTCCTATAAATTAATAAATTTAGGAATTACACCGTTTTAAAATATAGAAACTTTAGTATTAAAATAACTAACCAAATCGAATCTATATATAAAACTATCAAATACTTCTTTAAAAACCGTTTCTCTTCTCTAGACAAACTATATAAGTACATATAATCTACCAACCGCTCTCAAAAACAAAAATTCAAATCCAAATATACAATAGTAAAATAAACAATTTTATATAAATATAAAATGGTAAGGATATTTAATAATCTAATATTAAAAATATATAAAATATAATTTTTTATTATTACATTTATAAATTAACCTTTTTTTTCCATATAGGTTATGTTATATACTTTTAAATTCTTATAATACTAGTACCGCTATACTTATAACGATTAGTTAAAAGACCCCTATTAAAACCTAAACGCTATTTGTAAAAAGGAATTTACTATATAATATAGGCTACCCTATAAATACTTTATCTTAAAATTACTATAAATAAATCCGCCGTTAATATTAACTATTGAAAATATAAATACGTAGTAGTAATTAAATAGCTCAATAATAAAAGTTGAACATTGTATTTACGTAATCTAAAACCCTACTACTTTACTTAGCCGCCGATGAAAGGCGGTTATCTCTGACCTAAACCTTATAAATTATATACGTAAAATATCGGAGCGAAACTTTATAAACCCAGAAGTTTACGAGCCGCGTAAATTCGAGGGTAACTATACCCTACTAACTTAACCTGCCTAGCCTCAAGCCGCCGCGCCTATTACCACCGCGCCTATTGACTACGACTGGTATAATAACCATCGTATACTTTCTTATAATAAGCCTCCCCGCTGAACAATATAATAAAATACCTAAAGAGGAGGGAGGGCGCCAACCCGCTAGAAATAATTTCGAACTAGAAGAGGGATTCAATAATAAGCGAACTAAATTACACGAAAGGATTTAAATAACGCTATTATAAAGGCTATAGTTCAATTTACACCAACGCCTTCTCTAATATCCCTGTAAGTAACTCTAGCTCCTTTGCCGTTTAAAGCTCTAACTCCTTCACAAAGAGCTCTAGCGCCCTCCCTATTTCCCTATCCCCAAATTTAACAATAACCGCTAATTTAGCAATAACCGTCTTACGGCTATATACTAACTCTTACCAACTCTAACCAATGTAATTTAAGAATACTAACGCTTATTAAGCAACCGTTTAAACCTATCCTTAATCTAAGCGGTGAATAGAATTAATATAGGGATTAAATACTAAGTACGGCTAAGTTTAGGGGTTATATACTTATACAATTAGAAGTAAGAGAGGCTCTTATAATTCGTATTATAAATTATTGTACTAAGCTAACTAATTCTATTATTATTTAGGCGCCTCTTAAAGACCTAAACGCTCCTCTTCCCTCTAATTAATTATAATATAGTTTACAAGGCTATATTGTACTGACAATATAATATAACTAGACCCTTCTAGCTATAGTACTACCTCTAATACTTATATAGGGTAGAGGATAAGCGTTAGGAGATTTGAATAAGAGGACAAATCTCTAGCCGCTTCCCCAGCACTTATACGGCGAGTATTAAAATTAGGGTGGGTACGTACACAGCGGGCATCAATTTTAAGGTGGGCAATAGAGCCAATATAGGGGACAGCAATTGTAATAGCAATAACCGTATCAACACCCTCCCCAATAGACAATTAACTAAATTAATAACTCTGAATAACTTTACGTAAAAAAATAACGCCAACGACGTAGATCTGGCGATGCGCGGGCATCGATTATATGGTCTCAATTGCACACGGTGTACTAGGCTAGGCTAGGCTAGGCGGCTGGGCTTACTCAGCGATAAAAGTAGGCTTAGTCTACCCAGGGATCATTTTGAGTCTACCCAGCTAACCTTTGCGCTCACCTTCAGGGACGTCGCGCGAGGTTGTTAATGCAGGGGCACTCCTCCTTTCCTCCATTGGTGCTGGCGAGATCGGGTCGGGATCGAGAGCGAGGTGGAATCCCTCATTTGCTTTTGCGGGGGTGACATCCATCTCTTTACGTCAGAAGTCTCTATTCTTTCTCTGCTAAAGATGCTAAAGCCCATGTCGTCGACCTTGCAATTTCATGACCGTCTATGGGCCTCTGGCTTTTTCGGCGGATCAACAATCACGACACCACCAGCTTTCCCATCACCTCACCTCATGACTCCTCCATTGTTATTTAAACAAAACCTTGGCACTAAAAACCGTTCGAGCCGTTGTAACTTGTAAGTAGGTTCGTTTCTCTTCCCGTTGTTTGGCGCTTGTCCTACCATTCATCTGTGGATGGAGGCGGATGGACCCGTCCCCCCTGTGACGTAAAGGTGTCCAAGTGAGACATTGCAATGACAATGACTTTGAATGTGATATGGCTCTCTTATCACACTGGACTCCATTATAGAAATACCGAATTCCGGATTTACTGGTTACCAAGCTGTGAATGATCTGCTTCATCGATGTGGTACTGATCGCAAATCCCCTTAGGTCCTGTATGATCTACGCAGAGCACGGGGTATGTACGACATGAGGGAATCACGATGTGCTCTGCGATGAGTGCAACACGGCGTGAAAGGATCAAAATGAGGTCCTTGCTGAACCCCCGGATTGCCAGATTGCCAGATTTCGTACCATTTTCTCGCTTCCCATTCCTATGCTCAAGCACCTGTGCAGTCTTGGTACTCCGAAACGAAACGAACAAGACTTTATCAGCCTGTATCTCTACCAAATGAGAAGATACAGGAAAATTGACTATGTATTCAAACTTAGCGTACCTCTGACTATTAGAATAACAGTTTTTCTAATGATATAAATGAGTTGACTAATATTCTTCTTTCGTTTCGAAGGTCCAAATTCTAAAAAGTTGCAAAAAGTTGTGCACACCACAACACACCACCCTTTGCCAAGACTGCACAAGTGCTTGAGCATGGGGATAAAAACTTTCTGAGCTAGACGAGCCAGACGGACTGCTACCATAGCATCCCGCAGTCGTAGCCTTCAGTTCCCTGTCGTCTTTCTGTTCTCTCGCTCGCCAACCACTGCTACCTTAGGTTGTTCGTGATTGGACACCACAGCTCCCTTGCGGTGTGCGGGATGACCTCCGGTGCTGTAAGCCACATGCGCCATTACGCCCTGGCTTGAAGCCCCCCGAGAGGTTATTCCGAACAAGCATCACGATAGGCACTGCATATACTGTACAAGAAGTACAATGTTATAACGGAGCGAGAGTCCCTTATTTTCGGTTCCCTCCTTGTCCTTTCTATTCTTTTTATCTCCTTCTTCATCAAATTCACTTCAATCCCGCTGCTTTCAACGCTCGCAAACAGTCCGACAATGTTCGGCGATGTTACGGTCTTTCCATCCAGCCACAATCTTCGATCGTATCTCGATTTAGAGGACCCCAATTCAACAGTTGATTGTTCGTCTCTTACGACTTAACTATCTATCGATACAACCTCGGTTGGAGTTAGTGCTGCCCCCATGGTCACACTGCAAGGGAGAGTCGTAACCAAGGGGCTGAGTACACATGAGAAACGCTATTCTCGCCAGCCCTTTTTAATGTTCCTTCTTCCCATCCCTTTTGGAGTCCTTGGCCCCCAGTTCCCCTCTTCCCGTCCTACATAAAAGCAAGGCGTGCACCGCACATTTTCAGAAATTCAAGCGCGCAAGCGCCGAAGTGTTGGCTGCGCACCGCAGCACTTGGTCTAGTTGCACTAGCCTTTTCCCCGGAACCATCACCATTGGAAGAGTTATCGGATTATCACGCCGCTAACTGCGTCTGTAGAGGATCAGATGATGTTGTGTTACAATCCCGTAGGGCTGTTTGCTTGATCGCTCGACCAGCGCAATGTGATATATGCATGATGCACGTCAGGTCGTCCTAAACTACACTTCAGCGCGGCTATATCGCGGCTGCGGCAAAGGTAGGTCGGACGAGGTACGTCGCTCCGATGCACAGGTCTGTTGCATTCATGGAACCTACTGAGGACGCTATCGTGTCTATTCCAAGATTCAACTACTGCTAAACATCACTATTGTATCAAGTGGGCTGAGAAAGGATTTGCTGTAACCCTCCTTTTGGGGTCCAACGTTTGATACTATCCGTGTGACCGTCTCCAGGAAGTTCAGCGTCTTGCCTTTGGGTACAGGAGTCTGAGGTACCTACACAGTATGTCTGAGGAAGACATCGTGCCGTAGAACTGGTGACTACAACCTATGCACGACACCACACAGACACCATTCGGGTCTTGAACGTCAGGTTTCCCCGGTATGTAGGGACACAAGAGGCTTTTCCTGCCACCTTTCACCTGTTCGGGCCTCTGGTCTTTGCTACTGTCATTATCGAGGCACCGATCAGAAATGGTTTCCACCACCAGGGCCCAACCCCAGCCTTGTTTTCCGCAGACGCTGAGGTGTGTCCAGATATTGGGGGTTGTTCAGACACGGGGAGTTGTTCAGACACTGCCTCTGGGGTGTGTTCAGACACTAAGGAGTGTTGAACAGATGGTTTGTGGGAGGATATGATCTCATCGACATACAGCTTTACCATCGGACGCAGTTTCGCCATAATTAGTGACATCGGAAAAGACAGAATCTCGCTGAGAGTGACCCTGGAGAAATAAAGGTCTTGGGTAAGTCAGCCTGCGGTATTAGATATACTTTTGATCTGGTTGGTGGGTACCGAGGACTTACATATTACGATAGAAATACCGACACAGGACGCCAAAATGATCGCGAATCCCACAAAATAGATAAACAGCTTCCAAATCTTGGCTATTCGACCGGGCCATTGAGCCTTGCTTTGAACGGTATCGCCGGAGTTGTCTGCTGAGGAGCATCGGCTTTGTTGAACTGGCTCCTGGGGCTGGCGTTGGGCAGAGCTGTTCTTCGGCTCGTAGGCAGTCTCGGTACATTTTAGTGGAGTGCCCATTTTCTTGAGGTATTCCTCGAGAGATCTTGTTGCTGTTTTCGAACGTGCTTTGCGTCGCAGACGTTGCCTCCCCTCAAAGGTTACGTTCCAAGCTCTGAGTTTGTCGAGCCTTCGAGTGTTCAGAGACACTTTGTGGGAGTTCTTCTTCTCCCTTGTGACCTGTGTTCCAGTTTTTCTTGTGTACTGGAGTGTGTTCTGTATCTCCCATATCTGGGTCAGCAGGATGGTGTCGTTCGTGTCATGGTCAGATAGCTTATCCATGTGTTTGCGGTTCTGGTTCTTGGTTACGGCTACCTCACCAGGCGGCTTCCAAGTAAACGCCGAAGGGATAGAGTCTCGAGGGACCTTCAGTTTTATCATTGTCTCGCTGGTCTGGCTGTGCCAACTAATTCTCCTTGGTTCGGGTTGGGTCTGGTTATTATTGCTGGTCTTGAATCGTGCCGACTTGTCGTCGCCGGCATCGCAGTTGATCGAAGTGTACTCTGTGATAGAATCCGTGTTGAGCCCATAAACGTGCTCAAGTGGTTTGCGCTTCGGAGGAATTTCAAACAGTCGACCCGGAGCAGACCCAAATATGGCGGGAATCCAAGTGTCCATCCATGAGTTGTTCGGGGCTTGATATGACTTGGCCATGGTAGGAGCTGATCCGTGGATTTGTTCGGGTGAGGCTCAACTGGTTAGATTCGGTTACAAACTGAAGTCATAGGAAGGGAGTTCGAGAGAAAGAGCGTTCTGTAGGTGCCTTCTTATTAGACGTGGTGCGGTTAATGCCTGCAGGTAATCAAAGAAAGTGGAAGGTTCGAGCGATAGAAGACGCCAGTTGGCGGAGGAAGGCGCGATCTATTGGTCGTTGTTGGCCAAGTGAGAGAAACTCACTCGCCCAACTTGACACCTCCGGCTTGCTTTCGCTTTCTTTTGTATCGACAACTCGCAAGTCACGACATGCTCAGTTTGGTCAAAGGCATCAACCGCCTTCCGGACGATTCGATCACGACACGTGTAACCAACAACGAAGATGAGTTCAAAGGCTTCTGTTTGCATTCCATTGTCCCAGGAGAGACTATCTCAGTAACTCCTTGGCAATTCGAGCACCTTCTCGGAGATGTAGTTGAGAATCATCTCCCGGCTGACCGGAGCGATCCTAGGTACCAGACACTCCCTAAAGTATCGCTCAACATCGTACTCGACAGCGTATCCCATCCCGCCGTGGGTTAGCACAGCTCTTTCGCACGCCGCAAAAGCTGCCTCCGCCGCCAGATACTTGGCGCTATTGCATGCCACTCCGACCTCCTCCTGTCGAATCGATCCATCCGTCTTGCTCGCATCGTACAACCTGGCGGCATGATACGTCGCATGTTTCGCCGCCTCGAGCCTCATATACACGTCCGCCAGAGGGTGCGCGATGCCTTGATTTTGTCCGATCGGTCGCTGGAAGACCACTCGCTCTCGAGCATACTCAGCGGCCTTACTCAGCGCCGCATATCCTAATCCAAGTGCCTCGCCAGCTAGAAGACAGCGCTCTGCATTCATGCCATGAAGAATGATCTTGAACCCTTGTCCTTCCTTTCCGATCAGGGAATCGCCAGGGATGGGGTAGTTCTCGAAGAAAACTTCATTGGCATCAACAGCTCGCCCGCCCATCTTCTTGATCTTGCTCACTTTCAACCGGTGGTCTTCCCTGTTCAGGTCGATACAGAATAGAGACAGTCCCTCACTCGGCTTCTTCACCTCATCGCGCGCCGTGGTCCGCGCCAGAAGCATCATCTTGTCTGCCACTTGGGCACACGTTATCCAGATCTTCTGTCCTGATACAGAGTATGAGCCATCATCTTGTTTCTTGGCGAATGTCTCTAGGCGCAGCGTGTCAAGACCGGCATTGGGCTCCGTCACTCCAAAGCAGACGCGGAGCTTTCCTGCGATGATGTTCGGAATGGTCTGTTCAAGTTGTTCCTGCGTTCCGAACTTTGCGAGCGGCTGGGTAGCATAGACGTTGGCATGAATCGACTGCGCGCCCGCCATACCTGCCCCTGACTCGGCAATTGTCTGCATCATCATGGTCGCCTCGGAGATACCAAGTCCGGCTCCTCCTAGCGCCTCTGGTAGGGCAATACCGAGCCATCCGTCTTGCGCGAGAGCAGCGTGGAACTCCTTGGGATACTCCTCGGTCTGGTCATGTTGCTGCCAATATGTGTTCGGGAAATTGGAGCATATCTTCATCACAGCATCTCGTACCATGAGCTGGGATTCGGTAAAGCCAGCCGTGGCCATCAAGTGGCGCCGTGCTGAAGTCGAAAAGGCATTCTTGCCGCTCACCGTCGATCGTGGCGTTATGCGCGGGAGCCAGCGGGCGGAGCGCGCCGCACTTTTGATGAACGTGGCCATTGTTGAGGCTAAAACAAAGTTGAAAAGATATGAAACGAGAAAGAGGCGAACGGTTTCAGCCAATCCATCATATGATGCTTCTTTTTGAGCTACCAAATCAAGGCAGGCGTGAGTCGATAAGTAGTGGACCCATATCCAGGTTATCACGCGTTGGAGTTGAGGGACGATTCAGGGGCACAAGGGGTAATGACAGCCGGTCTCCAACCCCCAAGAAAGCCAAAATGCGGGGTAAACCTTCTCCATCACAGGCGGCTATTGCGTAGTACATTGAGCTTGATCAACGCCGCGGCATCGTTGCAAATTGATATCTATATCTGGCCAAATTCCCAGGTCATTTCCTTCTGTGCACAGCAATTTATCAAGAAATCGGTCGCTCAGAGAACAATTCAACATCATCACATCTTTTCCCACCTATCCCAACATATTTTGTGCAAAAATGACAGTCCTACGATCAGCTCTGAGCCGGCAAACCCGGCCACTCAATCTCCGCGCTATGTCCAGGCCGAGGTCCCTCAGCACCAGCAGCACCAGCAGCATCACCGCCAGCGAAGCAGCAAGTGAGATGCTGCACACATCCCAGGGCAAGACCATTGTCCGAAAACAGACTCTAGACGGCAATCAGCTGCAAAAGTTGTGTCTCACACTGGGTCGAAGGTATGGCCTAGGCCCCCAACTGGACCTCACGCTCGGCTGTCCCCCAGCGGGAACACCAGTACCGCCGGGATACCATCTGGTGTACTTTACGCCATCAGAACTGGAGGAGGATCTTGGCGCCGATGGCACAGATCGCACGTTCAACGCACCGGCGCCCTTCACGCGGCGCATGTGGGCAGGAGGACAGATGCGGTGGAACGATGGTACCGAGCTGAGGGTCGGGGAGCAGGTGGAGGAACACACAAAGCTTCTCAGTGCCGTGGCGAAGAAGAGTCGTGATGGCAGTGAGATGGTTCTGGTGGAGGTGAACAAGGAGTTCTGGGGTGAAAGAGGCTTGGCGCTGGTCGACCAAAGGTGAGTTCAACTTTGTCTTGACATAAACAAAAGAAAGCGAAAGCGAGAAGAAGAAAAAGTGTTGTTTATACTTTTTGTTATTACCACACAGATCTTGGATCTTCCGGAAGGAAATCGACCTTTCGACAATATCATCCATATCCTCAAAGCCCCTGATGCCTCCACCACGAGGAGGCAAGTCAGAAGTGCGAGACGTCGTGGTCGGTGACAACGCCCTACCGGACCGGGTCTTCAAGTGGTCGCCCGCCGCCCTCTTTCGCTTCTCGGCTCTCACGTTCAACGCGCACATGATTCACTACAACGAAAGCTGGACGAGGGACGTCGAGAACCATCCGGGCGTGGTCGTGCATGGGCCGCTGAACCTGATCAACATGCTCGATTACTGGCGGGATGTTCATCGGGTGGAGGGGTCCGTCTTGGAGGAGATCTCGTACAGGGCGACGGCACCGATATACGCGGGCGAGGAGTATACGATGTCGAGCTCCAAGATGAATACGGATTACGGCATGTTTGAGGTGCTGGTGAAGAAGGGAGATCAGGTGTGCATGACGGGACATATTAGCGAGGCTTCGAGCTGGAGTTATTAGTAGGGAAGATGAGGAGCTTAATCATATATACCATTATAATAATGCACCAGTTGAGGATGTCTTGATGAAGTAAATGTTCTCCCATTTAGGGAATGAAATCAAATAGACTGAGACGGCGAAAAGAGGCAAATGAGTAACATTAAAGTTACATGCATCGATGCCTATCAACGAAGTGACAAAGACACCTTTCACCGACCACCCCTTTATCGTCAGGAATATTGTCTGAAAAAGGAAGCAAAAAGTCTGGAAACGCTTTGGGCATTGTAAACAAACACCAAAAAGTATTGTGAAAAGCTGCAAAAAGAGAAGTTGTATCGACGCGAGCAGGATTTGAACCTGCGCCTCCGAAGAGATTTGATAGACCTCGAATGGTAGTTCGAGTCAAACACCTTAGGCCACTCGGTCATCGCGCCTTGAATTTGTTGGTGACTGAAGAGCTGCATTGTACTGCCTATAAAGCTGCCTGCAAAAGTGTGGGCCGAGCGGGAGCGGTGAATCCACTTGCCAGCCCACGATGCTACAACACCAAATATCATCGAATCCATCATTGAGCTTGCCGAAAGTGATTCGCGTGCGATTGACGCTATTTTTGACGGTGACGATGTTTCCAGTTTGTTCGTTTGGGTTTTCATAAAAGGTGGTTGGAAACGCCGATGGCGGCAGCGAGATATGAAGAATCGTGGGGAAAGAACGAGAGCGTAGTAACAGATGCATTCACGAGACCTTCCTATGGGTTTGCATGATGACAGTCCGGATAATGACGACATACAGAATGAAATGCCATGTTGAACGGTAGATACGCTTATAATTTTTATGTACAATTCTTCCTACACTACGTCTTGCGAAACTCTATATGCAATTCACACCCAACTTCTATTCAACCGCAACCGGTAGGGTATCACACATCTCCCTTTATCGCCCAGCGTAGGACGTCTCCATGAACCAACCCCAGATGCCAAATGCAACCCCCTTACCTCCCACCCTTCTGCGTCTTACTCCTCAACTCAACAGCGCTATACCACGCCGCGCCCGCCAAAGCAATCACCATGCCCACACCATTCAAGAACCCAACCTGGACTCCAAACAACACAATACCCAACAGGATCGTCAAACACTGCTTGATATTTCCACACACCGTCATCGTCACCGCGCCCGCAACCTTATTCGTCGAAAAAGAGCTATAATTCAGACAAAACGCTAGCAGTCCATTACCCGCCAACGTCAAGATCAGTGCCCCCGACGGGCCCTCGGGGTTCTGCTCCCTAAACCCAGCCAGCTCACCGCTAGCAATAGCGCAGACCAACGCCTGCGCGCAAGCCAGGGGCGACATGCGCAGCAGCGTTTCCAGCGGGGAAAGGGCCAGGGCTCCCGTCATGATCCGATTGGTGGCGACGGTCTTGACGACAGCCAAGATAACGCCCAGGAAGGTGAGGATAAAACCGGCAGCGGTGAAGTAGTAATCGCCATAAGTGGCGAGGCCGACGCCCAGGATGAGTGGGATGAGAGCGAGGTAGGTGTCGCGCGGGTAGGAGCGGCCGTAGCGGAAGCGGTAGATGAGCACGGCGAAAAAAGGGCAGGTCGATCGCATGATTTGGTGGAAGGGGATGGAGACCATGGCGAGAGAGACGTTGGAGGTGGCGATGTTGACGGTAAACAAAATCGAGAAGAGGAAGAGGACGACGTTTTGCTGGAGACTGAGCTTCGTGAGGGTGAATCGGCCTTGGAGGAGGAGGATGTAGCAGCCTATGGACGCCGAGCCGGCGTGGAGGGCTGTGAGAAGCCATGGGTAGGAGAACTGGTGATGATGGTTAGCTTGGTGCTGTACACACAGGTGAGATGTAAGATGGTGGGTGGTATGAGGCTCAACTAGGAGGCTCGGAACTCACCTTGCCCAGAATGAGCTTGTTGTAAATCGTTAATGAAATGTTACATAGGAAGTAGACGGCCAAGTACAGTAGCTTGGTTGTGCCTGAGACTTCTTGTTCTGTTCTGACCGTGGGACTGGCAGGCTGTGGGTTGAGAGGAACCTGGGCCTCCAGGTCCTCGTCCTTGTCCTTGAAAGTTGGACTGCTAGACATGGTTGATGGTGATGTTGACCAGCTCAGGACTGATCGACCCTTGTGGTGGTGAGAATAAGGTAGAGAAAGAAGACCCGGAAGGCTCCGTGTCAGATGGGACCGGAGTTACAGGCTCCTGAGACCGATGATGGCTCTTTCGGGATATTTTGCTGTCGAAGAATGATACCGGGTAGGTAATGATGTAACGTGGATAGAGCGAGAGTATGAGTGAATGGGGGATGATACAAAAAGGAGAAGACCAGTCCAGCACAGGTTGTAGGGCTGAAACAACAGTGGTAGTACGGTAAGATACTCAATGCGGAACCTGAGGGCTCGATGAGTGGTGTTGGTGAAAAAAGAGGTCAAGACAACAGGAACATTCCCGTGTGTGTTGTTGCAGGATGAACCGTCCTCACATCAAACGGTTGTCCAAACTCCGAAGCCCACGCAAGAAACACGGCGGCTTCCCCACGATACACTAGCAAATTAGTGGCCGTTAAGGTTGGATAAATAGGAAAGGCGCTGGGTACCACCGGAAACAGGAGGTCAGCAGAAAAAAAAAAGAAGAAAGGCTCCAAGTTCCAAGGAATGACGTGCTTGTTTTGTTGGAGGAGGTTTCGGAAACGAGCACCACCAAGCAGAAAAGCTGCGGTGATTACATGGAAAAGCGGCTGTTCCGGGTCTTGCTGTGGGCATCTGTCTAGGCTTGTTACGGGGAGAGGCTTGGCTTGGAAACCTGAAGCCATGGCAGATATCATGGGCCATCCGATCAGAATTCCGGTGAGTGGATCAACAATAACTGATCCCGGCAACCAGGCTCACCAGGGACTTTGGTTGGAACATGTCCCCTGTTTCCTCCCCTGTTTCCCGCTCGCGTGCTGATCATCCATTTCACGGACGGTTCATCCTCCCCGGAGATAGAGAGGGAGGGGTGAGAGGTGGTCCATTCTGCCTCCAGGTGTGATACCAGCACCAGAGAGCACAATGGCCTCTGAATACCTATCGTGCAAGACCCTGAAGAATGCCGCACAAGTCACAGCCTCCCGCTCTGCACACTACTGTAATGCAACCGCCACAGCCCGATAGATCGAAATGTTTGGGTTGGACGACGATGGGTAAGGCTTCGGCAGCAACCGTTGTGCTGGACCCTGTTTCTGTGCGTCAGCATACCTAAGGTACAACTGCATTGGTGAATAATCATCGTTCAACCTGGCGGCTTTCCATCTTGTCCGACCTCCGCTCGGTAACCCGTCGTTCCTCTGTAGGTTGCCATAAAGACAGGCCGCCCGTCGTTTCGATGAAAAGGCCTGTGTTAGGCTACACCTTTTCCAACAAAACCCCCAATTTTATCACCCAACGAGAAGGTTACACTTCACAAACATCCAGGTCCACGGAAAGGTTGGGGTCGTGTTTGGACAAGGGTTACATGTACGCTGACCCGGTACTATCACGATGACGCGTAACCCTCAACCACACCTTCCCGAGTCTCCTTCCCCCAACTGCACAAAAGCTGCAGCGGCGAGAGCGGCTATTGCTACCACTTGTAGTTTAGATTCCAATCGAACGCGCAATCGCGCTTTGTCGTTTTCGATCCATCTCAGCGGAAATAGATCAACATGTGTTAAAACCCCCTTCTTTGACCTCGGATTGAGCACCTCCAGGCACCGAGCTCGCTCTGCGGGAGTGCTGAATGGCTGCAGGTGCATTCAGGTGCAGGCTGGTTGCAGAGGGCGTTGGTGGTGGTTGCTTTTTGGGGATGGTTGGGGTCTTGGAGCCCGTGTTTAGGGGCTGGGCGGTCTCGGCGGTTTCTGGGCATGTGAGGGGAAATCTTGGATATCGAATTTTAGGTCAGTCAACTGAAGAACTACGAGAGCGAGATGAAACAGGTCTTGTCCTTCTCGATGACGCCGGTTCTCAAGACTCGGCAGGAGGCCTCGAGGCATTCGGGATTTCTATCCGATCCGCTTTGTTCGAGACGAAGCATTAAAATAGAAAATGTAAACAAGTCTCCATCCCACCTCAATTCCCGATCATGCCCCCAGACAAGGGTCATTCGCTACAAGATCTCGGATCCAGAGATTCGGAAAGACCGAGCCGCCATTCGAGAAGGGGAATGGACCCTGTTGATGCGAATTTCGATACCGGGTCACCCATGTTCCTTGTTTGATCACCTTCTTTCCCCAGGCCAAGGCCATCGATGCGACAGCTCTCTTGATGGCAAACTTTTCGCTCTGGTTTCTCGGGTTCTGTCGGGTTGAAGAGCAATTTCAAGTGTTGTGAAAAGTAAGCATTATCCAACCTCTATCAGACTTGCTACATGTAGTCCCAAATCACAACGTAGGTCGTTGCAACTGGGATCAGTCCGAGCGCAAACCTGCGTCCAATATGTGTGTGTAAACATCCAACGACCGCTTCCTGTATAGCAAAAACTCCAGAGATGCAAGATTAGATGCAACATGTACTATACAAATCACAAGATGCGTCTTCTTTGCTTGGTGCATCTTGTCTTGAGAGAAATTAGTGACCGCCCACGCTGGCCTCCTCCTTGGCCTTCCTCTCCTGCTCCTCCTTCTCCTTCTTTGCCTTAGCCTCCTTCTCCTTCTTCAACTTCTCCTTGCGCTCCTTCTCTTCCTTGTCCTTCTTTTCCTGCTCTATCTTCTTCTTTTTCTCCTCGATCGCCGACGCGGCCCTCTCCTTGGTCAACTTCTTGTTTTGCTCGTACCAGAACTTGTCGACTTCAACCTTCAGGACGTCCTTGGTCGTCTTGTTGGCCCACTCGGGAAGCTCCTGCTCGGCACGTGTGACCCAGGGGCCCATCCAGCTGTCGCGCACGTACGAGGTTCCCGCAAAGTGCACAATCATGTCACCCTGCATCACCTTCCACTCCTGAACCTCGCCGCCGTGACCGTCGTCGTAGACCTCGTTCGTTCCCTTGTCAAACTGCTCCTCCACCATCTCCTTGCCGAAGAGCCAGGTGCCGTTCTTGAAGAAGGCATTGTTGACGGGCAGCGAGTTGAACCAGCGGATCGGCACGTCAACCCAATGATCCCGGCCAGCCATGGGTGTCTGCGCCAGAGGCGAGGCCTTGTCGGTAAGCAAGAATTGGAACGCGCTTTGGTCGCGGAATCGGTCCGTCTTCATGCGCTCCGAGTTGTAGATGGGGTAGGCGAGCACGGCCGACAGGAAGGAGACGGACCATGGGCTAACGCGGAAGGCGAAGACACCCGAGTTGAGGCCGTCCCAGTTGGACGAGATGACGAGGTCGACGTTCGAGAGACCCCTGGCATCCTCGGGCGGGAGGAAGAGCTCTAGAGGGGTGTAAGGGTTCATGACTACCGTGTCGGCGTCGAACCAGCTGTTATGTGAGAAGGGGTATCAGTTTGTGCTCAGATACTGTCGATCAGACAAGATGACGGCTTCCGTAGAAGTAGACTTACAAAACCCATTTCAGCCTCTCCTCCTCAGGCTTCTCCAGCTCTGCAACAATGATGGAGAGCAGATAGGCGGGCTTGGTCCATGCGCCCTTGGGCCGGCCGGCGCGGTCGTTCTCGATCAAGCTGCTGACCGCCTGATTCAAGGCGATGTAATGGGGGTAGCCATGTTCACGGTTATGGCGTTCATGCGTCTGCATTGCGCGGTGGATAACATCGACGTCGAGGGCGTTAGCCGCGACGGTGACCTTGGCCACGCGAGAGGTCTTCATCACCGGTGGTTTCTCATGCTCGGCGGGTTGGTTCGTAGCTGGCGGCGGGGTATTGGCCGTGGGAGCATCGGAGCCGGAACCGGCGGGCACGGAGTGGTCGACATCCTGGTTATCATTGTTGATGTTGTTTGGCTGTTGCGGCTCAGACTTGGGAGCACCGTGGAGGGGCACCTCGGAGCTTATAGCACCGCTGGTGAAGCTGGAGTTGTGGAAGGTGATGAGCCAGAGCCAGAGACAGCCAAGCACGGCTAGGACGCTGATAATCCTCAGGGGCCGTTGGGCCTGGAAATTGCTTAGAATCATGGCGGAAGAATGGCACAGGCGCTGACCCGACTCTTCATCATGTTGCGATGAGAAAAGCTCAAGGGACAGGTGAGACCATGAAAGAGGTCAAGGAGCGGATTCGGATCCGGAAAGGAGAAGCCACGGCCACAGAAAAAGATGGAGAATGCCGAGAAAGGCGGACGTTGAAGAAGTCATCCATCCCTGGTCAACCTTGTCCGTCCCAGAGCAGGCTGGGCGATCGGGATCGTCACTTGGCATTGCTCCCAGAATGATTTGTCTCCCAGTCTCCATATCAAGGGTCTTGGCAGGAGTGGGTTCAAGGTGGGCTGCTTCATGGCCGAGGTTGTGACAAAAACACGTTATATGGGGGTTTGCTAACAGTGTGTTCGGTTTATTCCTGTCACACCTTCGATGGCCAAGCGAAGGTGAAGAGGTTTGGCTCGGGTTTGGCTGCCAGAAGCTGTCTCGCTATCCTGACGATAGCCAAGGAGGACAACGCTCCAATCAAGCCCCTGGACGGTGGACAGCAACGGGATGACGGCCTCTGTTGTTCGAGAAAAGGGGTTACCTGCAGGCTGGGCATTGGCTGGGCTGTGAAGCCTTGCGTCAACCTGGCTGTCCCAACTTGCATCCTTTCATGATTTCTCTCTTCCTTTTTCCCTCCCTCAGTTCCCGCTGTCGCCGAGATATGTCAGCATGTGCGCCCACTGCCCAGTGAGAAACACGTAACCAGGCAGAAACATTCGATGGGAAGGAAGCTGTGCAACATTCCCACCTCTCCAAGTCAATCCTTCATGTCTGGAGTGCCGCATTGCCGACGGGACCGTCCTATTGTTCACATTCTGCTGAGACGGACTCCCGCTCTGTACAGCTGTCAACGGCTCCCAGTCAATCCGAGGACAGATTTACTTGTATACTGGCACAACATGGAGGTACCTTTGGGTATCAGTGTAGGTGCGGTCAACAAATCCAAAACTGAAATGGATTGAGGCCGTCGTTGAGTAACATGTCTGCTCCGGTTCCCCTAGTGATGTTATTCCAAAGAACGATGGTTTCTTCTGAAAAGTGTGGACGACGAGATTCTTCACTTAAATGTTTTGATGGATGAGGTTGTTCGTTGATGTTCCTTCCCGTCATCGGCCGTCCCTTCTTTCAGCGGTACTGACAGGGAACTTACAGCGGATGCGGGATGCCGGCATGGGGCAGGGGGGACGCGCGTAAGACGAGCGGGAGTGGGGCTCTTGGCGCTCTTGGCGCTGCTTGGCCAATTTCCCCGCGCCCAGCCAACTCACCACCACTCTGCACCGTGACACATGCTCGGGGTTAAATGTGCCTCCGAACAACTCCAATGCGACCCGTCATCGATAATTGACGACATTCATCACTCTGGCCAACGCTCATTGCATATCATGGCTTCATAAAGGAAGCTTTACGGCGCTGATGAGGCTCTGGTCTCGGATACCGACCATTTTGATGTTGAATACTAAACATCGAAAGGGATCACAGCGAGCGACCGGTTTCCCCCCTCCCTACAGGCATGTACTGGGAAGCGTCAGGAAACGCCAATATTTGAATTGACCACCCCAACACAGGAAGACTAGGAGCAACCCTCATACGAAAGTCCGTACGTGTCACAGCGGCAGATCCGAACCGACGAGCAAACCCAACCGCGCTCCCATAACTGGACCGTCTTGGCCATTGTCTATTTCCATCGTTAACCCGATTTTGACGGCGTGTGAGAGTCTTCCATCGGTGACGCCCGCCTCCCGGGACGCCGTTGGCAAAAAGAAAAGAAAAAAATTCCAGGAGAATCTCCCAGAGCATCTGAGCAAGCCGCAGTCAACTGGTGTTGACAATCGTCAGGCGCCTAACATGAAAGTGGACGACATGAATGGTAACCGAAGGGCCGATGCTGGACCAGACTTAAGGGACGGGTAGGAACCCAGAGGCACATGTTGGCTCCCTGGGCAGAGGTCTATAGTGAGCCTTCGAAACCATGTGAAGTTTAGGTTCCTTCGTCGTCGTGGTTTCTGCAACCGTTCTTCCGTGTTGGGAGCTTCCTGGAGGAAGAAGCGGCTAGAGGAGGCAGCGACCCAACTTCGTCTGTATGGAAGAACACCAGGCTTTTCTGTACGAGCTGGATGCCTTGCTCCAGTTGGAAACAGCCCATCTTGACGGGCATGGAGAGTTCTATTTGATGGACCAACGTGGTCTTGGGACCTGAAGAGGACTCTTGCAAGATGGTCGCCGTTATCGATGGCTTCATCTGCCCACGAAGGCTGGCTGTCACTCAACAATGTCCGCCGTTGTCCCATGTCGATCTCGACTGATTAGGTTCTACTGTCAACAGTGTCAAGTGAAGGTCATGGCAAGTGTCTTCCGGATCAATTGAGAGAAGATCTAGGACATTGGGGGTTCTGCACATTGTGCAAGTACCTCTACACATATAAGGCCAACATTCTGCTCAAATAAGCATCAATCATCTGATAGCGCCAGTGGTTTAGTGGTAAAATCCATCGTTGCCATCGATGGGCCCCGCGTTCGATTCGCGGCTGGCGCAAATCATCTTATCTTTTTGCCAATTTTTTTTGTTCCGCTCTCGCTTGAAAGCGCACCTAATTCCTTCCACTTGTTTTGTTTTACGAAGTTTGTTCTTTTTGTGTGGACTTCCTTCCCCTCGGAGTATCTCACATCGAAATTGTCAGACAAAGGAAGCGGTTGATCATCCCGCTTCGGGGTCGTCCGATGCTTTCAGTTTCGACCACGGTACTTTCTGCCGCGCCCTCAATTCAATGCTTCGAGACTGGTGTCTTTTTTGCCTCGATTCCCTGTTAGCTCTCATCGCGATCATTTAAAGATTCCGTGGGTAAAAGCGATGGTGATAGGGATGGTGAGGAGCTGATGAGGTGAGCTCTGAGCTCCTTCTCACCCCGCCGCCACTAAAACAATGTCCATTTTCAGGCACCCAAGCTCCCCCTCTGGGTCTGCGATCGTCGTCATGGGATAGTGGGCCTGTGCCTCCCACCCAATTAATGTCAACAACAACAACAAAAAGCACGACACGCTGAAATTTGTCGCGACGACCACCGGATAACACACGATGCGTCTTTATCTCACCTGATTTTTTTGAGGAAGAAAATCGCGCCAAGGAATTCTTCAGCTGCATTACAGCGCTTATTAACGCCAGCCTTCATACACTCTCAACGCTTCGTTATGATTAAGTCCATCATCTGCCACGGCGCGTTGGTGCAGCAGCTTTGTTGATGTAACCGCTATCGCGGACCTCGAGATCACTTTTAGGCGGCTACGGACCAACAATTCAATGATGACGAGATGATCACCCAGCATACACTGGAATACTCAAATCCCGGTCTTCTTCACGTATGACGGCCTACCTCTTGTTCGAATTACCTCCTCACCCCACCTCATAACGCTGGCCGACCAAAAGCTGGACTAAACGTTTCTCGAACAATCGTGGAGATCCACGTCCGGAGCTTCATTTTCAACCATCGGCACGCAACAGTTGTCGAGCGGCACTTTCAAGAACTTCCCTCTTGGCTGGACCCCGAAGAGAACCACCGCATTTTGAGTTCGAAGCTCGTCTGGGACGACTCACCTCACCTCACCAAGTGACCGAGTACGGATATCACCACGAACCAGTGCTATGAACAGAGAAGGAAAACGACGACGACGAAAACGGAAGAAGAAGAAGAAGACATGCCCCACTCAACATTAGAAGAGCCTGAGTCCGCCTTCTGCAGGAGGTGCAAGGAAATGAGACCTGTCGGCCACACAGAACACGGCAGGCGCGGTGCGAGCGGAGGAGGGGGACTGGAGAGCGCAACGGCTACTGCTCCTAGAGGTACCTTTCGACCTCCAAGTATGATCAGGCAGAACGCGACTGTTGGTCAATCTACTTGAGCAAGTGCGGAAGCACCATCAGGAACATGGATGGAGAAAACATTACCTGTGCTAAGTAAGGGTCGCGAGTTGGGTACGAAGTTGATATGTTTGGATTATTACAAGACTCCCGGAGGCAGAAAACCTGTCAGAGAGCTCCAAGCTGAGTGAAGGGACGGGTCGGTCCCTGGTTGGGGATTATTAGAGGAGAGGACGCAGGTCCACGACTTGGATTGTCGGCATATATGGTGTTGGATGGATGGGATTGGGTCTGTCACAGTATGTATGTATACACACAACAAGGTCATGGTCCGGATTTTGGATGCGTGGTGCACTCAAGCTGACATACAGTGTGTCACATCACGAAGTGTCAAAGAAAGGATGCATCACGTCGGCCATATATCACTTTTCATTCAGTGAACAAGCCAGTTCATGTTCATAACATCATCATACAGGATACAGATCCCAACAGTCCAATACCATATCGTACAACTTCACTCCAGCCTTACATCACGACTCAATCTCTTCAACGCTTCTTGTGCTCAGTAGCAACCCTCTCCGCCGTCTCCGGCAGGCTATACTCCGCACCTTCCCTCTCACCCCTGATACCCCTCCTGATAGGCTCAGGCTTATCAGCGGCCAGCTCACGGACCTTGTGCTCGACGGTCTCGGCATGCTTGTCGGTGGCGCCCACGCCCTCGAGCCCGGAGTGCTCTTTCTTGCGCTTACCGGCGTGCATGCCGTGCAGCTCCCTGCTCGTCTGACCCTGCATCGGCTGGCCGTACTGGGTCTGGTTATAGATGGACTGGCTGGTGGAGCCCCTGTAGGCGTCGAGCGGGTCGGTGCGCGAAGATGGGTCGACGTCCGGGTTGAGAGCCTGACCGGGGGTCTCGTGGATCGGGTTCGGCTGGTAAGAGTCCTTCTCGGGAGCGGTGCCGGGTGGGAAGGTCTTGGCGTGGAATTCGGGCGCGGCTTCGTTGCCTACTTGCGGGCCGAGTCGGTGCTGATGGGTTGGTGGCATGCGTTGGTTATCGTGAAGCTGGAAGGGGGTTTGTTCGGATTTGATACTTACGCCAGATACGTGTTGGGGCTTAGATGGAGGGACCTTGGAGTGGAACTCGCCCTGGTTGGTAACGGAATCGGGATTGGCGGACATTATGAGTTATGTTTGACTTGATACTTGTGGATTTGGATGGGATTTGGGTGGTGAAGTTGGATTGTAGCGGGTTTATAATTGTCGATTGAGTCGTTTTTATGTTGTCGATGTGTCTAATAATCTGGAACGATAAGGTCCATGTGAGCTCAAATAGGTTTTAGACGTTGATATAGCCCGCTGTGGTGGTAAAGGGTAGCTGTAGCCATGATGTCAACCTTACGGTCATTGACATCATCCACGTCGAATCGTCTTTGGAGGTGTGTAGATGATCGGAGAATGCACCAATCTTCTGTCTTCAGTTGAGGTTGTTGACTTCATGATACATGAAATCTCGATTCGTTGATACGAAACCCTGATGGTGTAGTTCTTGTCTGCAAGTACACCGTCGTAGAGTCAAGTCGGCGAAGACAGGAGACATCGCCATGTCTTGGCACGGTTGGCAGGTGTTAAGAACATTCTACAATCAATCCATGGTAGAGCCACGCTGTAAGCCGAAATACAGTTACCGCGACCTGATCTGATCTCCCCCAATTCTCCCAAATCATTCGATGCTTCCACTTCGCTTACCGTAAAGACTCGGGGCGTTGATTTTTAGCTTCCAGGGAAATCAGACATAATCAGTACACTTGAGGCACCTCTAGCATTGCAGACTGCTCGAATCTCTTCCAAAACCCAAACCCTAAGGCACCTAATACATAGATTCTGTCAGTTAGGCCCTGGAAGCTAAAAATCAACGCCCCGAGTTTATACGGTACTTGCAAGATCGTCTCATATCTGGTCTTGTAGTTTGCTGCGACCATCTCGGATGTACAACATACCGGAGAAACTCGGTAAACTGGCAAAAAGCTATCCCTCTTTGAGCGCCCGACAGTAAGCACAGGAAGCAGCATACGTCTGTACATATGTCCGCTCAGTTAGTGAAAGCTCTACAACACTGCCCACCACTATCTTGCCTGCGTTTCACCTTACAGGACTGGACTTCTGCCCTACAGATCTGCCAGTACTAAGGGGAAAAAGAGGTTTTTGGGGCATTAGCTTTTTGCCAGTTTACCGAGTTTCTACGGTATGTCAAGGAGGGATATCTGACATTTGACGGTAAAAATTGCTGTGATAACACACAGGTTCAAAAGCGAGCACCTAGGGTACATGGTAACCTTTAGTTGTCCCAAGATACTTACATCTCTACACGCTGACCATCATGATAAGTTGATGTTTTGTTGTTGAGGTGTTGTTGCCGGAAACACTCGAACAGTCTTGGATCAGTGGGGTCTACGGGAGGCCCAGCAGTAGGGAAGGATGGATCTAGGGAGCGGTTAGCACATGCGGTGCACTGTGGGGTCCCTGCATTCAGCCGCTGTCTGCAAATGTGGCTGCCACATCGTGCGCCGTTGAACTTCAAGCCGGCATTCCATTGCCAAGGAGGGCTTTATCTGAAGTTGTTACCCTCAAATTGCGGAAGCCTCATTGTAATATGCTCGGTAATTGTCTTTTCAATTCATTCATCGTCAGGTTTGAAAGCGGTGGTGTTGTGGATTGCGAGACGGCTTCAATCGCGGTGTTCTTTCCCGCTCCATCTTGCATCGCGACACCTGCAATGATGTAATGGCGGGGCACATTACAGCGGGCGTCGGGCGGTGAAGGGGCCCGACCTCGTCCACCATTGATACCGGCAGGTACAACAAGGAAGCAGGGGAGAATGGTACGTCGGTTCCTTCTCATGTTTTGTTACACTGTTGCTTACCAGGACCTGCAGTGTCAGCCTGAAGCGACGGGAACTGCGAAAAGGATGGCTGGCGTCGCGCTTTGTGTTCGTCTAGAAGTCAGCATTCCAGGTTTGTGCTAGTCCACCTCAGCCAACCACCAAGTGGTGATCGAGCTGATCTTCCTCTACACTACGACCAACTGAATCTCAGCTTCCCGGGCGCAACACCACAAAGGACACCCCAATTCGTGCCTTTATGTATCATCAAACGGGTGTCGTTGTTGCAAGTGTATTAAAGCCAATTTCGATTGTGCCACCACTGCTTGAGGACGATGCCCTGATGGACGGAAGGACCAGCTCTCCTTCCTCACCTCTTAACACTTCGCTTTCACTTGGGTTATCAATGCTGTCACAATTGCACCTTCCGTCAAGTCTACGCTCGGTCCTCCTGTCTCCAGGAACAGGAATTGTGATGCTTGCCTTCAGCTCTTGTCCATCTGATGTTCTCGGGTTCCATTCATTTGGACCGTCCGATATTGCATGAGCATTGCAACTGCAGGCGCGGGGTTCTTTTCCATTTTCACCGTTTCCTGTTTCCAACAAGCAGCGTGCCTGCGTTCCCATGTCCGATTGAGCATACCGCATCTACTCACGAGAACCGGTTCTTTCTAGTCCAGGAAAGGCTTACCGTATAAACTCGGGGCGTTCGTTTTCGGGATCCAGCAGTCTGCGGCAGACTCTATCGGCTCCAACGAATAACAATTACATAGGCGCAACTCGAGTGCCTTATCTGAAGACATTCGAACATGTCCGCAATGCTGAATGTGCTTCCCCTGCTAGATCCCGAGAACGAACGCCTCGAGATGATACGGTAGTTCCCGCTTTTAGAAAAAACCGGTTCTAATGAGTAGAAGCGGTATGCAATCACGAGCGAGCGACCTGATGCCTCCCAGACAAATTGTTTCTGGCATTTCTTTCTGAAACCTTTGATGCCGAGGCTTTTCGGTCCTTGGCGCCGAACGAGATGGCTTTCCTTCGATTTTCCCTCCACCTTCCTTGTCCGTCAGGGCGCCTTGAATCGCTGGAACCGCTGAAACCATTGGGGTGACAGGCCCACCAACCAACGACCAACCACCTGGATTCTCTTTTTTTGGCATTTCAACCTGTTACTACCTACTATATTGAATACACATATTTGAAGAAGAGCGACATTGGCTCAATGACCAAACCTTGTTCATCAAAAACATCATGTTCAATACATGTTCAGATGAATTTATGTTATCAAATTCTTGGATGTTGAATAAATCTCTATGTTGAAAGGTCTTCGTTCCTTCCCTCTCGGCCTCTCGCGCTCCTTCCTTGTGACCTTGTGAAAAAACGCATTACCAAGAAGATGCATCACCAAGAAGATGCATTCATCACAAGAAGAAGCATTACCAAGAAGAAGGTGCATTTCCAAGAAGAGGATGCATCACAAGTACCAAGAAGATGCAACACCAAGAAGGATTACTAAGAAGATGTCTTACTAAGAAGATGCATCACCAAGAAGAAGAAGAAGAAAAAGAAGAAGAAGAAGAAAAAGAAGAAGAAGAAGAAAAGAAGAAGTGAGCCTCGATGAGAGCTTCTTTCTTTTATTTTTTGAAAACATGGTTTTTTTGGTTCAACATTTGTTGAACCGTCTGTGGAAGCTCCAACATCGTTGAAAGTCCAACATTGGATCTGTGCGCCCCACGGGTATGAGACCCCCTCTCCCCGGCAGGGGCACCACTTCTCCGCGCATCCAGACTCTAGCCCCAGCCATCCAGCCATCACATCGCAGGAGGACAATCCACTGATCCACCATCCCACCCGCGGGTGTGCCAGTTTTTGGTCCAATGCGACGGCATTGCGACGGGATACCAACCGCCGCAAAAACACGAACAGGAACATTGTAGGATTCAGCCGATCGACGGGAGCGCCCTCTGCCTTGGCTGGCCGCTGTTTGGAAAGTAGGACAAGAAAATCACCTCGCGTCACACACTTGACGACAGGCCACGCCAGACCTCATCCTCTGTCTTCGCAAGTTTCAAACAACTGTTTGAGCATCTAGTTCAAAGTAGCCTTCTCTTGCTGCGATACCAGATTACCAGGCACCGGCCGTTTGCTTTCATCGGCGTCCGAGACAAAGCGTCATTGTTTGTTTTGTCGCCTGGTATCGGGTCTGGACTGTCCCACGAGTCTGCGACACTGCAACGCCGGGAACACCTCGCTCGTAATACCCATCTGTTTTCCGTGTTCACCAACTCTCTCTGGTATGTTGCCTCCTGCTCGATTGTTTGTCCTCATACTAAGTTATTCAATGTACACAACAGCTGAACATTGTCCCTTGTTTGCTCAGATTTCCAGGACACTGTCTAGTCCCAAACGCCGCGAAATCGACACTGTTCTTCCTCCTCATCTGCATCTGCGGCCGTTTAGAGCCTGGCGCTCATGACCTAGAACTCGTCTGAACTTGTTGCTACCCGTCCTCGTATCCGAGAATGGCACACCCAAGATATGTATTTGACGACCACCAAATGGCGGAACGAGAACCTCTTGGTGCATCAGCATCTCCATACCATCCACGAAACCAGTACTATCCGCCCTCGCGTTCCCAGCAACAGTACCAAGATTCATTCCGTCCGCCGTCCTTCGGACCCCGACCCGGAGCCCATTCCGATTCTGCCTTTGAGCAACTTCGTATGCAGAGACGCAACAGCCGAGGACAATCATCAGAAAGGAGTAATGGTCATGGCAACTTCAGACCATACGTACCAGCTGGTGCGGCATCCAACAGCTACTACGAGCCACAAGATATAGTGTCGCCTATATCCCCTCCCCAGCCGCCTCCTCATCGCGCCGAGGGAAGACTGTGGGGTAATGATCAGGTTAGCTACTCGGAGTCACAACGACCAAGGGCCCTCAGCAACATCACTCCTGGAGCGGACGACTTCAGCAATGCTGCTGCCGGTGGTATGACGGGGATTGCGCTGACTGTCGCTGACCAGACTGCGAGGGAGAGCGGACTCAACGCACTTCACGGCCCCGCTTACCCAAGAGAATACGACCAATCAAGGCAATTCCAAAGCCAACAGACCCCCGGGCCCAATGCGCGCGAAGCATCGAACTATCCCCAGGCGCAGATGTCTTATGCCAGTTCATATACACAAAACAGCGGGCCCCCTAGCCTACAGAACAGTTCACAGGCACTAGATGCTGCGCAATATGCGCCTGGGGCCGGTACACCTGGGCAGGCAACTCCCTCGAGAAGCCCACCCCA